TGAGAATCGGAAGAGAAATGGAAAAGCTATAGCCATCACTGTGGGCCCTATAGGGGAATACCCCATTTTCAAGGGATCGCATCAGGAAAAATGGACAAAAAATCTAAAAAATATTTTGTCTCAGGATTTTGATGCAGAATGGTGGAGAATCGATATAGAAATCGTTTAAGGTACTCCGCTTGCGAATCGGAAGAGAAATGGGAAAGCTATAGCCATCACTGTGGGCCCTATAGGGGAATACCCCATTTTCAAGGGATCGCATCAGGAAAAATGGACAAAAAATCTAAAAAATATTTTGTCTCAGGATTTTGATGCAGAATGGTGGAGAATCGATATAGAAATCGTTTAAGGTACTCCGCTTGCGAATCGGAAGAGAAATGGGAAAGCTATAGCCATCACTGTGGGCCCTATAGGGGAATACCCCATTTTCAAGGGATCGCATCAGGAAAAATGGACAAAAAATCTAAAAAATATTTTGTCTCAGGATTTTGATGCAGAATGGTGGAGAATCGATAAAGAAATCGTTTAAGGTACTCCGCTTGAGAATCGGATGAGAATTGGGGAAGATATAGCCATCAATGTGAGCCCTATAGGGGAATACCCCATTTTTAAGGGATCGCATCAGGAAAAATGGACAAAAAATCTAAAAAATATTTTGTCTCAGGATTTTGATGCAGAATGGTGGAGAATCGATATAGAAATCGTTTAAGGTACTCCGCTTGCGAATCGGAAGAGAAATGGGAAAGCTATAGCCATCACTGTGGGCCCTATAGGGGAATACCCCATTTTCAAGGGATCGCATCAGGAAAAATGGACAAAAAATCTAAAAAATATTTTGTCTCAGGATTTTGATGCAGAATGGTGGAGAATCGATATAGAAATCGTTTAAGGTACTCCGCTTGCGAATCGGAAGAGAAATGGGAAAGCTATAGCCATCACTGTGGGCCCTATAGGGGAATACCCCATTTTCAATCGCATCAGGAAAAATGGACAAAAAATCTAAAAAATATTTTGTCTCAGGATTTTGATGCAGAATGGTGGAGAATCGATATAGAAATCGTTTAAGGTACTCCGCTTGCGAATCGGAAGAGAAATGGGAAAGCTATAGCCATCATTGTGGGCCCTATAGGGGAATACCCCATTTTCAAGGGATCGCATCAGGAAAAATGGACAAAAAATCTAAAAAATATTTTGTCTCAGGATTTTGATGCAGAATGGTGTAGAATCGATAAAGAAATCGTTTAAGGTACTCCGCTTGAGAATCGGATGAGAATTGGGGAAGATATAGCCATCAATGTGAGCCCTATAGGGGAATACCCCATTTTCAAGGGATCCCATCACAAAAAATGGACAAAAAAAATAAAAAATATTTTGTCTCAGGATTTTGATGCAGAATGGTGGAGAATCGATATAGAAATCGTTTAAGGTACTCCGCTTGAGAATCGGATGAGAATTGGGAAGGATATAGCCATCACTTTGAGCCCTATAGGGGAATACCCCATTTTCAAGGGATCGCATCAGGAGAAATGGACAAAAAATCTAAAAAATATTTTGTCTCAGGATTTTGATGCAGAATGGTGTAGAATCGATAAAGAAATCGTTTAAGGTACTCCGCTTGAGAATCGGATGAGAATTGGGGAAGATATAGCCATCACTGTGAGCCCTATAGGGGAATACCCCATTTTTAAAGGGTCCCATCAGGAAAAATGGACAACAAATCTAAAAAATATTTTGTCTCAGGATTTTGATGCAGAATGGTGGAGAATCGATATAGAAATCGTTTAAGGTACTCCGCTTGAGAATCGGATGAGAATTGGGATCTTATACACATCACGTTTACTAAAGATGCTCAAGAACTGAGTGATTAAAATTATGAAGAATCTTGATTTCCTGTTAAACCCAATTCTCCTCACCATAAACATTAGGTTTCAAGTGAATCAAAGTAAAAGAATGAAAGAAAAAAGCCCCCAATTACCCAAAAATCGATTCTCAGAAGAGAGCTAAGCATGGGATTAATCATATCAAACACCCGATTGAAACATTAATAAACTTTCAGACAATGAGTTCAAGGAACGATCTCAACATCGATGGAAAATAAACTCAGAACATGAGTTTCCCCGAAAATTGATTTGAAATATTATTTCAACAGAACGTTGAAATGTTTTGTAATAAATTGCGAGCCAATCAGTTGGCAGTTTTGGGGAAATCATCTTTCCATCTCAGCCATCTTTGGAAGATCCTATTCGTCACGATATTAAGTATAGAACATTATTAAGTGGTCCCTGCGAAAGTGTTTTCTTTTCTTGTTCGAATGTTTGTTTACCTGGCCGGCAAATGGAAATAAACTTTCGAGCAATCCCCCTAAAATAGAAGCCTCTCGTAGTCTCTGTTGCCTGGCAGAGTATTCAAAATCGGGGGAAGCGGTCAGGGAGTGCATAAATATACATATAATCAAAGTTTTCGGGGGCACACGACGCTGGAACGGCTGTGGTGGCTACTTTATGACGTCATGGATTTGCACCGGATCGTGGGCGTGCGCCGCTAGGTGGCGCCAACGTCATCGATCCCCCCACTTGCCAAAATTCGGCAACCCATACATATATTTATTTATTATTTTTGTGTGGGGTTTACTGCGGATTTATTTACATAGTGGTAGCTGCATCATCGTTGCCTTCTCGGTGACGTCACAACACGTCGCTCAACGCTCCCCGAGTGCCCAGTAGGTGGCCATTGGGTTTCTGCGAAGAATCTCCCAATGACCTGGCTGATTGACTCGCTCTGGCCCCTCCGCCGGGGGATTGCGTTGTTTTCTGGTCTAGGGCGGTTTTAATATTTATTTGTATTTAACAGGAATTGCGCCTTGTTTTTGCCAAACGCCTCCGCGCCGCAAAATAAAGAGAACCGTGTTCCTTGGGCACTAAATTCTGCAATGGGCTAGAAATAATGGTCGTGTACTTCCCGGTGATCTGGCCTTTGATGTTAGTGGGGTCCCATTCCAAGTTTATGGGTCGTGATCCAGTCGTGAGAGCCACTGATGGATAAACATCAGATTGGCCTAAGGTTTCCCCAAAAACAAACAAACTTGAAGGACATTTTTCTTAGTAACTTTTATAATAAATCTTCATTTTAAGCAGATAAATCTAAACCTAATAGATATATTAGGTACACTACTGATTAATTCGCATTTAATCGTTTTGAATTTGTTGGATAAACAATTGAGGAGTAAATCCCCTCCATATCATTCAGCATACTTCCCTTCTTGAGAGTCTACCTATGCTCCCGACATCCACGTTATGTAGCCAGAGTGATGATGGCAAGCCTCAACGAGCTCTGACCTTTAGGCAGCCCAATTAGTCCATTAAGGAATATTTAATCGCTCCCGATCCCGCGCCTGACCAGGTGATGAGCTTCAAAATCAGCGCTTTTTCTTCTTCACCTCTGACCCATTCGAGGGATTTGTTTTCCAACCCATCGATGACCGGATTATGGGCTGATTATTGATACGCAAAATCCCGTACGGAAAATTCCTCCGTATCACACAGTCCACTCGACTCTGGAAAACAATTGAAAGTCCAGCCCCTCCACCTCGACCTCCGCAGCTCTACCCAAGGCATATGCTATCGGGGCTCCTACTGATTGACGTCGACAAATTATATTGAAATCAAGTTAAATGGCGCCTCGTTAATAATTTTCATAAAATTTTACGCTTATCATGTGTCAGTAAATTCCGATCCCGCCAAGTCTACCCCTGCCGGCCAAACATTGTTTGTTTTTATAAACAGATATAACTTATTTTTGAATTCGTATTTTTGAATTATTAAGTTTTCGATCTTCGGGCTCTTGTGACGCAAAAGTAGTAAATTCCAGCGCGAGCTCGCTGATGGCCTGCGAAGAACGATTCCCATATGCATACTGGGGAATGGAGGCCATCCCAACCTCCTCGTTCTCATCCTCCGCTGTTCCAGGAGGAGATGCCGCGGACCCTACACTGCCCAGATTCATTCACACAAATCAATTTGGGCAACGTGGGTGATATATATTTAATTTTCGCACCTCGTGCAGAATGACTATAAAAACACAATGAGCCCAATATACAATATTAGGTGTGTAGAATAAACAGTCGTTAAAAAAAGCCACAGGATATTCGGGGCCCATCAAAACCAAAATAAATTAACGCGGTTTTTTTCCAATCACTGCAATTGTAAGATGGGAACTGGAAAATCTGTTGGGCAGAGAGTTTTTGAGAAAAGTGGCGCTTAGTAACAACATTTGTATCTCTATCGAGCCAAATAAATCTAGTCCTTTACTACATAATAAATATGTAATAAATATACTTCTTTAGGCATATATTTTATTTAGATTTTTAAAATTATATCCCCCATTTCTGTGTTTTTTATGATTTGTTAAATAATTTATTTGCTGTATACATCAGCGCCACCCAGCTCCAACGTGAGTTTTCTAAACTAGCACACTATCTTAGTCGATACAAGAACCATTTACATTCAGATGTAAACTAAGCAGTGCGTTATGTCACTTTAATAATTGATAAAATTCAATAAAAAAAATAATGTTTTATAGTTCAAACTATTAAATTTATAAATTTTAAAGTAAGGAATCAATTGGCCTTCACCTTTTTTTTTCTTATAAAACGAAATCATATAATTTATGATGGAGAGCCCCGCTCTTGAGTATCTTATCTTATCATAACAAACATATGTTTGCAAAAAAACACACTTATCAAGCACTCGAGTTGATTGCAAATGCCAGAATTAGAATCAGGTGAGAGGTGTACTACCCTAATCCGTTCCCGATAATCTAGGACAGTAACAAGATAGCCATGTAATCTTGACATATAGGGTATGCAGAAGCTTACATGTTTTGCACTGCGGAGCGCCAATCTGCGCTCTTCTCTCCGAAAGCTCTCACTTGCGCTCTCAGGCTCTCTCGGTCGGGGCCACCATCCACTTTTAAGTAAAGCAGCAGCACACTCCGGCGTCAGACGCCTCCCACCACCCACCAGCGACGGAACAGAAAGAACGGAACGGAACGAAACGAGATCCGGTGCGGCGTTGTATTTATTATTATTATTTTTTATCAAGTCCAAAGCGTTTTGAACGGGAGTGCGTCTCTGCCGGACACCGCTTTTCAGTTTTAGCTCATTTGCGTGCGCGGTTACCTTGGGGCGGCCGTCTCCAGTTGGAATTGTTGTAATTACCTCTCGACAAGTGTCCGCCACAAACGAAACGATAAAATTAAAATAAAACGCAGAATAATTACGCTGCAGCTGGAGCTTGGGAATGGAAATGTGCGCGTCGCGTCTAAACGGCAGCAGCGACAAGAGGCAACGCTAACGTAACGGCTAAATAATCGTAGAAAGTTTTTATTGTTATCGCTTCTTCTGAGCCAGAGCCTGAGCCAGAGCCAGAGCCAGAGCCAGGCCAGAGCTGCCAAAAACCGAAAGCCAAAAACCCGAAAAGCAAATAATCCAAGCTCAGGCCAATTTTTGCGTGCCGGCCAAGAAGAAAAGAAATCCGTTTCGGCCCCATCTTCACTCTGGAAACTGGCGTGTGTGTGTGTGTTTGGTGTTGAAGTCTCTGTGGTTATAGCCAACGGAATTGGCAACGCTCACTCGCCGCTGTCAGTCAATAAACCCAGTTAAATAGATACGCAATATCCATAATAACAACAACAACAACAACCAGCCACCATGTCTGGCCCACTGCCCGAAATCAGCGAAGAGCAGCGCGCGATACTGGAGCAGGTAAGAACCCGGGGCTGCTGGCGGAGAAGAATGGGTCGATAAGAAGGTGCTAGCCTTGAGGTAGGAGGTCTTGGGGGTAGATATAATTAACAAATATTTAGTCTTTTCTCAAGGGAGTATCTACGAATTCAAATACGCTTTTTAAGAGTCTGAAATTTATTGTTTCAAAACAAACCCATTAATATAAAGGCATATCTTTATGGCCAATCAACATAAGGGAAGGGCGGTTTGAGAGGAAAATTTTAAAAAGTATTAAAAGTCATTAATTTAATAAATAAATGAATTCCAGCTGGTATGTTGGGAAATATTCCAATAAATCGTTACAATGTTCTGGATTTACAGAAAACAGAAGAGTCATCGTGCACTCAGCGAATCACGGTGTCTGGTTATGGAAATGAGCAATTGCTCGCTTGACTTCCTATTCGATTAGCCATTTCTGCTAAATACCAAACCACGGTTTCCACACTGCAACGACAACTTGTTCTGGCCAGTGCTCTTGGGCCTACATACGCCGTGCGGCTAAAAGTCAGTCAGGGGCGAGTGTGGAGTTCAGTTTCGGGGGTTTCATTTGCATTAGTCTCGTACGTCGTGTATGGCCAATAAATTCACTACTTCACTACACCCATAATTTCAAAAAATAGCCAATAACTCAAAGAGTTTAGCCCCCTTTGTGGTCTCCACTGGGGCTGCCATTGCGAGTTCTTGGCTGGCCCACAAAAACCAGCTTGCGAAATCGAAAACGAAACCAAAGTCTCGGCAAAGCGACACACATTCTGGACAGTTCAATAGATTGCCACGAGAATGCATTACCAATGGACGGAGCCACTAGGCCAATGTGGATGAACTCCTTAATGGGTGCCGCCAGGCCCTGCCCGAGGGTCTTGCCCTATTTTAATTGCGCGAACGGAGCCCTGAGTGGGACTGCCATTTCATGGGACAATGACTGCGATTAAGAGCAGTATAAATAAACATGAGCTAATGATAAACGCGAACGAGCAGTAAGTTGCGAGCATTAATCCAGAACAAATTACGGATGACAAGTCACCCGCAACAGACCTTTGGACCTGTTGCAGAAACATTTGCATAAATCACGAAAGCAACAGGTTTCCAGAGCCTGCTTGGCAAATTCCGAAAAAAGAGAAACTCCATGGGCTGCAGAATAGATGCAACACTTCTTACCTCTCAAAAAAGTGCAGTAGTTGAATGTTATTCCAAAGTCGTACCGCCAAAGACCTCTCGAAAATACCAAGCAGCTGTGCCAAATATAGACGCCTTTTGGTATTGAGTGGCTTATTGGATATTTACCGTTTTTGGTTTTTGGCCTTTCAAAACTCAGTCAAAGTCAGGCCAGGCAATGGGAGAATGAAACGCCACCACAGCCCAGATATATAGTCATATGACCAATGATATGAGGAAGTATGCAGCCAAATAAAGCCGGCCGAGCCGAGCAAACAGAACGCGGCGCTAATGAAAACCTGGCATTAGCCATCACCTGGGGGCCAGTCGGTCGGTCTCCCTCGACGATGAAGCAACAAAAACAAAAATAAGCAACTAGCCAAACAGCTAAAAAGCGAAAACTGAAAAATAAAAGAAGCGGTGCTGTCGGTGAGCCAACGTAGACGGCCTCGTTATTGAATTCCGAGTGGTTTTGGCCAGAGCCGGGCCTGAGCTTGAGCCTGAGCTGACTCAGCATTGGATAAACACTGGCAGGCGCAAGTCAATTAAGCTATTAGCTGTGTTAAATATGAACTTGATTGAATGCAAATCGAAGTACGTGATGTTTGCTATTGCTGTTATTGATAAAAATAACAAACAAAGAACAGTAGATTAGGCAAAGAAAGGCGGTGTTGCTCGCATCGATCCATTGTTCGAATCAGCTTTCGGTAACAACATCCGATTTTGGCAGCTGAACAAGGCCAATACCAATTAACAGCAATTAAGACCACCTCACCCGAGCTTGTAGACCGCCTCTATAAACACTATCGCCCGCGATAGAGATCGGAAAATAATAAAACAAAGTAAAGCTGTGTCGGCCTTCACCAATAAATCATCGCAACAAATTGGATTACAAACCAGAGATCAGTCAGCGTTTTATTTTATAAGCTAGATGAATTAAATCGGATAGGAAATTATTTTACATAAGATTTGTTGTTTCTCCTGGGGGCCACTCCAGATGGCTAAAAGGGTGCCACAAAAATGACCATAAATTAATCACTCGAATTCAGTCGAACTCATGCGGGATATGTTAATTTATTTTGCACTAAATGGCAGCTAATATTTGTTTATTTTTAATAAATTCACTTTCTAATCATTTTTTGCCCCTTTTCAGTTTCGCAAGCAAATGGATGATGCCCTGGTCGATACCCACGACGACTACTTTCTGGTGCGCTGGCTGAGAGGTGGGTCAATTAAATTCTATTAGCCCCTGGGATCGATTATAATCCATTTATTATTCCATTACAGCACGCAAGTGGAACATGGATGCAGCGGAGAAAATGCTGAGAGCCGTGAGTTAATTAATTGCCATTGATTTTCCCTATTTATAGTTCATTTACGCCCTACAGAGCCTCAAGACGCGCGCCATGTGGAATGTGGACAACATCGAGAAGTGGGATCCACCCAGAGCCCTGCAGGAGTATCTACCCTATGGGCTGATGGGATACGACAACGAGGGATCCCCGGGTGAGTTCCCAATGCCCACTCCCATCGAAACTGCAAACTAATCGTGTTACCTTTCAGTGCTGGTCTGTCCTTTCTACAACTTTGACATGTGGGGTATGATGCACTGCGTCACCCGCTTCGAGTTCCAGAAGTACCTGGTCCTGTTGCTGGAGCGCTTCATGAAGGTAGCCTATGAACAGAGCTTGAAGCATGGGTGGAAGGCTCGTCAACTGGTCGTGTTCTTCGACATGCAGGATGTGAACCTGAAGCAGTACGCCTGGAGACCGGCTGCCGAGTGTGTGATCTCCACCGTGAAGCAGTACGAGTCAAACTTTCCGGAGCTGCTCAAGATGTGCTACATCATCAACGCCCCGAAGCTCTTCTCCGTGGCCTTTAACATTGTGAAGAAGTTCCTGGACGAGAACACCACCAGCAAGATAGTGATTTACAAGTCAGGAGTGGACAGGTGGCAGCAGCAGCTCTTCTCCCACGTCGACCGCAAGGGATTCCCCAAGGCCTGGGGCGGAGAGCTCGTGGACAAGACCGGCGATCCCCAGTGCAAGTCCATGATGATCTGGGGTGGCAAGCTGCCGGAAGAGCTCTACATCGACCAGAGCAACCAGCAGAGCGACAAAGACTTCACAGAGACGCAAGTGCCCAAGGGCGACAAGCTGAAGCTGCACTTTAAGGTTAATCACGAGGAGCAGAAGATTCTCTCCTGGGAGTTCCGCACCATCGACTACGACATCAAGTTCGGCATTTACAGCGTGGATGAGCTGACAGGGGAGAAGCGCAGCGAGGTTGCCCTGGGAACCGTTTACTCCAACGAGATGGACGAGATCGGCTACATATCCACTCGTCCGAATACCACCTGTAGGTGTTGAACGTATAACTTTGTAACCTCTTATTGATTCTGTGCATTTTCCAACAGATACCGTGGTCTTTGACAACTCGGCTAGTTACTTAAGGAGCAAGAAGCTTCGCTACTGGGTGGATCTCATTTCCGAGGAGGAGGAGGGCATTTCCGAGCTGACCAACCAGATGGACCACACACAGATCGCGGCAAAGGAGTGAAAAAGGGGCGAGTCCTAGGATCGCGTGCTCGACCAGCAACTATGCCAAATACCAATTGGAAGTAGATAGATTTATAGATAGACAACACGAACTAACCTCGGTGCATTAAAGTCACAAAGCCTTGACCAGACCTGGCTGCCATCAGCTGCTGGCGAAGCTGCAATCAAACCATGTGATAGAAACAATTAGCAAAGGAGAACTCACACTAACTTAAATTTAAACTTAGTTAAAGGCGCACTGTTTATTTAACAATTTTAATCTTCAATGTTTCTGTGTATCTGTATTTGTATGCCCATATGTTCAGGGATTACAGCACAATAAATGTATATATGTAGCATTTGATTATGCAATGTATGGTATTAATTTTAAAATTTTTCTTGATTTTTAAAAAATTTTCCACATTTTTTAAGATTTTTTCCGATTTTTTCCGATTTTGTCCGATTTTATCCGATTTTCTGATTTTTTCTGAAAAATGTCAGAAAATGTATTGTATTTATTTTAAGATTTTTCTTGATTTTTAAAAAATTTTCCAGATTTTTAAAAATTTTTTAAGATTTTTTCCGATTTTATCCGATTTTTTCTGATTTTTTCTGATTTTTTCCGATTTTCTCAAGTTCATTACGTAGTCGTTACGTAGCAGTTAAGCTGGGCCATTTTCGGCAACTAGTAGGGGGAATATACTAAGTCCAGTACGTCACAAAATGGCACTTTTGAAATCGAGAAAAGTGAAAAATGGCGTAGCATACTTTTGGGACATTAGGATTTCATCTTCCCCAAATGATTAAAATCATAGCATACTTCTTGGGGGACATTAAAAATTATATTTTTCCGCCATGATTAAAAGCATAGCATACTTCTCGGAGGACTTTTAAAATCATATTTTTTCACAATGATTAAACGCATAGCATACTTCTCGGGGGACTTTTAAAATAATATTTTACTCAATGATTAGAAGCATGGCATACTTTTCGGGGGAAAATATAAATCCTAAATGTCCCACCCCAAAAGTATGCCCTGCTATTTTTCACTTTTCTCGATTGCAAAAGTGCCATTTTGTGACGTACTGGACTTAGTATATTCCCCCTACTAGTTGCCGAAAATGGCCCAGCTTAACTGCTACGTAACGATTACGTAATCCCACGTAATGGACTTGGGAAAATCAGGACAAAGCCTAAAAATATCAGAAAAAATACGAAAAAATCTGAAAAAATCGGGAAAAATCTTAAAAAATTTTTAAAAATGTGGAAAATTTTTTAAAAATTAAGAAAAAATATTTAAAAATAACTAAAAATTTTTAAAGTCAAAACACAGAAAGTAAATTTTGTATTTTTTAATTGTTTTTGTGTATATATATAAATGTTTAACTTTCCAAATTAAATTAAATGTACTTTACAAAATGTGTATGATTTAAAATTTACTGGAGCGGGATGAAAAATTTCTTTTTTAACAAATTAAAAAACTTTAGTGTAATGCTCTACAAATCCATTAGAACATTCCTCTGGTGATCTTGTAGATATAGATGGGCATGCAAAGTAGGATTCCAAACTTTTGTTCCTAATCATCCCACTCCAGATTCAATTTCCCCAAGATTCCTTGGCCACTTTGCTGAAATAAATAATCGTTCGCCGTTCCGGTTGCCCGCTCACTTGTGCTCAGCTCTTACGGCTGCTGCGAGGAGGCGCGGCGCTTGCGCCTTCATCACTGCGGACCGCCAGGATTGGGTCCCATTTGCGGGTAGCCACCTGGACCTACAGGGCCCTGAGGGCCAACCTGCTGTGGCTGGAGCTGCTGCATGGGCATCATTGGGTTCGGACTCGATCCCACCACCCCAACACCGACTCCCACGCCTACGCCCACACCTACTCCCACGCCGACAGGAGGCCCTATGGATTGGTTAGGTGGAGGCTGGGGCATCTCAGTGGCCAGCTGCAGATTGGTCAGCAGATCCGTGATGGCTGGGAAGAGCGAGCATTGATTTTGCTGTGCGTTGAATTCGGCAAAGCGTCGGAGCAGCGTGCTAGCGGCGGTCATGGTGGGCGACGTAACCTGTCCATTTCGTTCAGCCATCTGGGTGATGTTCGTCTGGATGTCGTAAACGATTGGTAGCACCAGCGAGGGGCTATCTTTCCAGTCCTTGGGTCCTCCAACCACTCCGCCGTATTGGATTCTTGTAATCTGCAGGAAGAAGAGGATCTTCATGCGTCCAAGCACCACGCAAGTATTTCCAATGGGCACAATAGGAACGGCAGACGGCGGCATGCGCATACACATTTGCACGGTCCACTTCAGCTGGTCGCCACCCAGTTCCGGCTTCAGCTCCAAGCGCATGATCTGCACAAAGTCCTTCAGGACCTGGGCTGGCAGATTGAGAAGTCGACAGATGCTGTGCAGCGAGTTCGGGCGATAGGGTGGAGCAGCTACGCGGGTGTCAAAGTACTGTTCAATAACCAACAGATCGTCCGGGCTGAGTTGAAAGGGTGGAGGTAGCTTGTCGGGCATCGGTGGCAAGTGAGATATCTTCAGGTGGAGAGTCTGCATGTGAATTTGATTCAGCACCACCTGGCACTGTAGTCCGTCCACTTTGAACAATACCACCCCGGGTTCCGTGGAATTAAGCGCTGTCAGGGCTTCCTCGTTCTGGATGTTCCGATGCAGTTGTCGTCTCATGTAAACACATCCTAAGAAGCGCTCTAGTGGACTCATATCCGGCACATTGATATCCTTGTTGGGATGCGGACTTGGTCGACAGAGTGTCTCCAGGGCTTCGTGAGTCAGCAGAGTGGGAACAGCTCCGGCCCATGGTCGGTTTAGGGTGCCACGAGATCCTGCTCTATCGGCTCCGCCAGTTCCTCCAGCTCCGCCGCCAGTGCTCTTGTGCTCTGGACTCTGACCTGGCCTGGGCGAGGGTCGCGGCATGCTGGGTGATCCTGGCCAGTTGTTGTTCGCCGGCGACATAGCTGTGAAGGGCGAGTCCTGATGACTCTGCATATAAAGGGTATTTGGACCCGGACTGTGGACCATGTGTGGGCTGGGCTGGGGATTCAGCGGAGACGAAGGCATCAGTCCACTTGGTGAAGGATGCGGCATGTGCGGCGCCGGGGGAGACGTGAGGTTAAAGTTTCCATGTCCCTGGCCTCCAGTGCCACCGCCTCCTCCTCCAGCACTTGGATGTGGACTGGCCGGTGTGTGCGGATTAGAACTAGAGGGCGGAGTATGAGGAGCTGGGAATCGGAGTCCACTGTCTCGCGGTGACTGAGGTCCGCGCATTCCAGTGCCCAGGAATGGGGAAGATCCACCGGCACTTACACCCGCTACACTGCTCGGACCTCCGAAGTTGTCCTCCAAGCCCATGGGTGACAGCGGGTTGTCGTCCTCGTGGGCAGCGCGGCTTCTATACGCTGCCGACTCATCAACATATTTCGATAGGAATGCCTTGAGCCCCTGAATGGGCGTGATTTCCTCCACCACATTGCGCTCGAAGCGGCTGCTCGCTCCATCTCGGATGGACACGAGCCGGTTGGCACGGAAGCGCAGTTCTAAGCAGTAAACCGCCTGGTAGGTCAGCCTCATTAAACAAGGCGATTGGGCCAGCATGCAGAAAGACAGCACTGGTACTTGGGGCCGCTGTTGAATGAGTCAAGGATATAGTTACATAGTTAATGAAATGAGGACGGTTGGGACTCACCGGTATTCCCAGGAAAGGCAGCACCGGCAGCTTGGCAACGGAGCTCAGTGGGTTGTAAGTCTCGTGCAGGATTTGTGCGATCTGGGTGAGACTGTGCTGCTGATTGAGATGCTGAGCCAGTTGGTCCCGCATCATGGAGTGTGCATTCACCGCGGACATGCCGCCCACAAAAGTGAGTCGGAAGCCGTGTGACTGAACCGACCAGTAGATGTTGCAACTGACTTCCTTCTTCGGTCCGTATCCGAGCAATAGGTTCATATAGCTGTACGATTTAACGACGAGCATATCGCACAAGGAGAGCCGTTCTGGTAGGGAAAGAAACAATTAATTTGATATCAAAATACCTTTCCTGTTACTCACTATTTTTCAACTGTTCGGCAAAGTCGTGGACCAATGTGTAGAGGTAAACTATCTTAGACCAGTCGTTGAGCAGGTCTTCGACTGTTTTGGAAAAGTCGTGGTTAGCCTGCTCGTAGTTTAGGTAAACGGTTCTCCGGCTGCCTTGCTCCTTCTGGTGACTGCTTTGCAGCGGGGTGCTATAGAACACGAACTCCACCACCCAGATGCGCACCTGGCTGTTCTTGTTCGTCTGCGACCTTATCGAAATGGAGAGCACTCTTCGCATCAGATCGTCCCACACATGTGGTTCAATCTTTGGCAGAGCCGAGGCGCCACTCGGCTTGGAATCTCCAGCGGTCGCAGCTGCTCCACCCTGCTGCTGTTGTTGCTGCTGCTGGCTTGAAAACGTCGTCTTGCCAGGCTGTGGGAGGGCGAGGATCTTCAGCACGAGTGAAGTAGCGTTGGCTTCAACCTGTAGGCCGCTGTGGGGGATATTGTGCTTCGACAAGGTTTGAGCCAAATTCATGAACGGAATCTTCTCATCACACATGGCCACAACGTGTGCTAGTTCCGGAATGAAGTAGGCGGGAAAGATGGTCTTTTGCTGCTTAGCTGGTGGCGCCAGGAGGTCTCCATTAGACTTGCGTTTGTGCGGGGAAACATCCGCTAAAGGAGGAAATAATGTAAGTACCGAATAGTAGTTTCCAGGGACTAAGCTTACCATCAACTTCAGTGCCTGGCCCATGCGTGGCCACAAAAGTGTCGAACTCGATGAGGCGCATCAGCTTGGTGTAGAACTTGGGAATGTCTGAGGGAGACTGGGAGACCACCGAAACGAGTTGCTTAGCGGATTCATCTATAACGTCCAGCTCATCCTTCTGGAAGGCCACGAAGCCCAAGTGGAAGGTGTACTCCATTTCGTTGGGCATGGTTGTCTTTTCCTTGAGTTGGACCACCTGTTCCAAACACATTTAAAGTAAGAATAGATGTTCGAGCCCATTTAGTAAATCATGTGCTTACCAAAACAATATTGGGATGTCTGTGCAGCTTGACGTAGATTTTGTGCCTGCCAGGCTGGAGAAGCTCTTGGTCCGGTTGTACCAGGAAGGGCAAGGTCTCGGTTGCCGTCGCTGGAAGATGCTGCAGGGTCTTTTCGCACCTTCGATGAGTGATCCAGTAGCGCAACTCTGAGAGCAATGCAGGCAGCTTGCCCCGATCCCCATTCAAGCAGTCTTGCATCTCGTCCGTTATTGGGCAGTCCAAGTGCTTGGGCACGTGGCAGCGGAACATTCCCGTGTGAGTGTCAATGGTAATGTGAACTTGTTCGGCTCGCAGGCACGGAGAAAGTACGGGAACAGTCAGAATAGCCGGCGTGCCTTGGAGGTTAACTGTAGAAAAGCAAAAGACGGTTTACATCAACCTTCCAAGTCAGAACGCTGTTAACATTTACACTCACAGTCAACGTCCTTGAGGAATGCCTGGAACTCGAGCTTGAGATCGCTCAGCCTCCCCACGGATCGAATGTAAACAGTGTGCACAATCAGGCGCTCCATGGAGAGATGCTCGGATCTCACCGCTCGATCAGCCACCTCAGCCGATTCTTTGGCACCCAGCGATGGCACATGGACCACCGCCAGCGGGCGACCAATCTCGTTCGGATCCGACTGAACAGTGAGGCGGTAACCTAGCTCTGACTTCAAGTCTCTCCAATACGAGACCGTCAGCTTGACGCCGGGCACATATTCCTCCACCGTAATGTTGTTCTCGTCCAATCTTTCGAAGTTCAGACGAAGAGTTTGAGTGTAAAGAACCTCCAGCTGCAGGGACTGACAGAAGTAGTGCAGGCAATTGTACACCTCACTCAGGGCATTCGGATTCTCCACGAGCCGGGCCTGGATTAGCTGGTGAATATAGTTTACTTGCAGCGGATGAACCAGGGGCTTGCCATCTAATACAAAGAAAATAATATTGATATTTTACAAACATAGTGGTCTCAATTATCCGTACCTCCCGTTTCCTTGTCCTCAACGAGCACATCAATGTCCAGCAGACGCCAGGGCACGGTTGGGCTATCCCCCATTACCGTAAGGGCCACACTGAACTCGTGTTTCACTTCGAAAGTGACGCGTCCATTCTGAATACGAAACTCCCTCATCTGGGGTAACAGTTTGCCGGTAACCAGGCGGTGCTGGATGACCTGGTTCAGTCGCAGAAGCGTTTGACGCTTCTCCTCTGGGGTAATGGCGTCGGCCGGTACAATTCTCTCGCGAATACAAGTGGGCAACCGGTTATAGGTGCCTGTGGTCAAAACTTCCACGGCAGCAGGTATGTGAAAATTGGGAAGACGAGCTCGAACTAGCGTTTCGCGGGACATGCGGGCCAACATGTCAGCAGTCTCCACGAAGAGCATATTCTGCTTATCCAGAAAGCTCATAATCTGCGAAGATTTGTCCACTTTGGAAACTGAGTTTCCCCATTTTACCAACGCATTCAGGCGGGTGAAAAGGTGCCGTGTCCGGGCCGCATAGTCGTAGATCTCCACTTTTCGCTCCATATCCGATTTTCGGGGTAAACTGAAAGGAGCTTAAGTTTATAAACGTAACTGTTTAATTATGTATTAATAACTCACAGTTCAGCCAAGACAGTGAGCTCGTGGTAAGTCCTCTGAATGATGAAATCGATGAGAACCGACATGGACATGGTGTTGATCCGCGGGCCTCCCTCCTAAACAGGGATTAGTATAAACATATTTGTATTCGTCAATAAAATGCTAAAAAACTAGTTACCTGTCCAGCGGGCAAGTAGGCGCCTCCGCCGCCACCGACGCCGGGCATTTGTTCGAGCGGCAGAGGCAAGGGGGTGGGGGCCATGTTTGATTGCTGAGGCGGCGCACGGCTTATTTATTTCAGTGTTAGGCCTCCTTCTGTTGCGCGCTTTTGATGTGGCTTTACTTGCTACACACGTGTTTCATATTTTTGTCCACTTTTTTAACGTGTGCGTTCGCTTTTTTGCCGTTTTTACTCGCGAAAAATCCAGCAGCGAAATTTCTTTCTGATTTTCTTCATTAGAGTGACCAAACCTAGGTGGAGAAAAATTCATTAAACATCGATTGTGAGCGATTATTGCAAACACCAATCCACCTTTCCTTTACAACACTGAACTCTAACGTATTTAAAGCAGTGCAAGCAGTTTAATTTCGAGAGAGTTTTGAATTTGTAAGAAATAGGTTTTCTAATTGAAAACCTATTGCATTTCACTATTGCAGTTTTCAGTATGCCAGCATTTCAGTTATTATATTTTTGTAATAATATAAATTATGATATAGTTAGTTTTAAAGTTAACTGATATTCATTTTTATCGTTCAAGGAAACAAAATGAAAAAAATTTATGAATTCTCCTCCAGGTTAATAACTCAATTCCTCTCATCGAGTCGACCAATTATAGACAGTGAAAGTTCATTGACCAAATCAGCTTTCCATTACCACTCGACTGTTTTAGTTTTCCTCATGTGGCGGCCTGTTAAAAATAAGGAAAACAAAAACATTTCCGCTTTTGTTTCTTTGAATTTTGACACGGTTGATGTTTCGCTGCCATTGCACATGGCACCCCTCTCTTCCCACCCACCATCCCGCTCTCCTGTCCTCCAGCTCCTCCGAGAGTCTCCCGCTCCCGTCAATAAACAGCCACTGCTTCAAGTGGCGGCACATGCCACGAGACACCTCTCCCCGCCAGCCACCTCACTATTACGTTCATGTGCTTCGCCAAGTGGCAGCCACCTACGGAATCCGATTCAGAATCGCTCCACTTGCACTTGGAAAGTTCTCGGGGATCGGGATTTGGAGTTTAAACTTCCCGGCCGCTAGAGCTCCCCCAATTGCTCTCGGTTTTGGATAGGGATTGGGATGAGAGCCCCTCCGGCCATTTCAGAGGTGGCGGTAAAAATAGAATTTTATGATCTGGCAGTGCGGAACGGCACGATCCAAACTTCAGCCACTTCAGCCCGTGGAATCAGATCCCAGGAATTACTCACATATCCGGCCTGGCAAGGCAGGTGCCCTGCCCCGCTAACCCTTGACTTGGACGAATTCCTATAAACAGGATGCGGCAGGGTTGTTGAATTGGGTGCTGAAGCTGCACTGCTCCACATAAATTACGGCCACTCGACTTCGGTGCAGATCAGAGGGATTCCCGGATCTCCTTCTCTGATCGATGGATCTGGTTCTGAATACCCCTGAATCCGATTATCCAAAGCGATTACCGGATAATTTACGCCACGTCTTCGATTCACAATAAATTTCGAAATTATTTACAAAAATGGAAAAAGTAAACCGGAGAAATGGCCTCGTGTTCGCTTTCGCTTAATTTTTTGTGTTGAATTTCGCATTAAGGCGGATTCCGCTTATTTATCTGTGTAAATAATTGGACACCCTCCGCTGTCGGAGACTCACGGATGCGAATTCGATTCACTTGGAAGCGAAGAGATCCAGCCGCGATGAGGCGGTGGCCACATACCGCACTTGCTACAAGCATTTTACCTACGCAAAGAATAACAGAGCCAAACCAGCCGATCTTCATGGGAGCAGTTAAAAATAAAGATCCAGGGGCTCTTTACAAGGCGTCATGCACTGTGGGAAACAATTCGGTAAACATTTACAAAGTGCTGCTGAATTCACGACTTCTTTTGTCTCTGGGATGTTGCTACTAGTGGTAATAATTAAAATCTGCATTCAAATAACAAATTGATTTAATTAATTTGACTTTGCGAGTGTCGAAGGGAAAGGGGAAGGGGAAGGAGCTGCAATTGCGCAGCAAGTGAGCAAAGAGTACAATACACCGAGTCTCTGGGGGAGGAGGAGCCGAGAGTCCGACTGGAACCAGGACGAAAATAGATTTATGGCCGCCAGTCGCGACGGTTTCCAGAAACGCTCGCTCCGGGTGAGGCCTTGCTTCTAGGGTATTATGCACTTCTTGGAGGGAGTCGGCTGACTGACTGGCTGCATCCAATGATCTCTGATCTGATCCGCTGCGATTTGCCTGTTGTAAAGTTGGGACACTTCCTTTGTGGCACTCAGCCCCTGGCTTCCTCCTTTCTTCTCTTATTAATTGCCGTGATTAAAGTCGAGGCTGTTGCCGCAGAATGTCTTTAGCACATGTCACACTTGGTCGCAGCCACTGCACTCCTCCGCCCAAGCCCCGAAAGATTTCCCTGGCTTTCAAAAGCTCTACGTTGATGCATGGCTATGGCCCGTCCTGACCTTACCATCAAATAGCATTTCCATGTTGGCGCCAGACAAAGCCCACCCCTTTTCGGCCCCCCTGCCACTTTCCCGAGGCTTTCTTTGTTTCCCGAGATCGGAACGCGTGGGCTGCAACTTGTGAAGTGTGAAAATGCCACAAGAAGTGCGAAAAATCGAAGGAAAACCGGAGGAACACGGCCCGGCAGTTAGGGAAATGTACTTTGTTGGAAACAACGACAGGGGAAAATAAAAAAGAGTGCTCCAAGAAGGGGTTGTCTTATAAATAAACCCATTACAACCCCCCACTCGAGCGATCTTAGATCTTTTGTCCAACATCAAAAACCAATTCGAACCAGAAGCAACAGAACCAACGGCGCTCGACATAAATCATATCGAATATATAGAAAATACGTTAGCACCCAATATATCTGAGAGTCCCCAAGCAAAGCATCCGAAGGGGGCGACATTAAGTTCATTACGCCTGAAAATCCGAAGCGAAGAGAAGCGACGACAACACCTGTGAGGAATTCGTTTTGGGGCTTTCAAAGGCCAACTTTTGGGGGAGAGCCGGCTAGAGCATCGCTGAGAGTACTGGGTGCAGAGTACAGAGAGAAAGTGGTCTTTCGGGAAGAGTGGGTGTGCGAAGGGCCCAGGCAGGAGGAGGCACAGAGACAGGTGAGCGAGTCTATTTCTGATCCCCGCAACAAGTACGCCAGCGAAGAAAATGCCAAATTGCATGCGACTGCGTCACATCCGAATAAGAAGAAGCAGAAGAATTGGCCAAAATGGGGAGAATATGGCCAACCACGAAGTGGGAGCAGACACGGACTCTTCTTCGAATCAAATCCGCATGGGGTGGGCAAAAAACATCCGCGATTCGCACTTCTGAAGAACTCAATACCCGAGGTCACCACAATAGCTTGAAAGCCAAGTCGTTTATGGAAAGTATGCTACATATTTCTTATAAACTAATCTACGAGAAGCTCCCCTACTTATCAATGGCCAATATGGTTTATTTGCTCTAAATAAATGCTTAGTTTTTGTTTATTTGCTGTCCATGACTGTTTTGTTATTGTGTTACTATTATCTCGACCCCAGCTGTGCGCAATGTGTGTACTTTGGGGTTTTTGACACTGGCTGCGCATCGTTAGAAGAATTCTGCGCAGTGGTCCTGCCAGCAGGAGCATTTCAAAGTCTCGGAAAACACTTTTCCCTTTCGGAAAAGCAGACAACAAACCAAGAGTGGAGGAGCGCAGGACAGCGGGAGAGAAGAGCAGTCTGCCGGAGAGCGCTAGCATAATGAAAACATTATTTTCGATTTATTTTTAAACCGCACACACTTGTTCCAATCGCCGACACCGTCGCCGCCGTCGTCGCGGTCGCTGCTCAGTCGGCTGCTCTGCCGTGGTTCGTTCTCGGAGTTGGGTTCGATTCGATTAGCCGATCCCATGCGATCCTCGGGAAGCCAACAGCTGCTGGCTGTCGTCCACGTCGCCCCAATCCCGCTGCCCAGCCCCTCGTGGCCCCAGCTCGCCTGCCACCCATGTGCCTCCTCCTTGCCACCCCTCCTTTGCCGGAACTTTCCGTGTCTGCTGCTGGCTGCCCCGTTTCAGCTTCGTCACCTCCTCGACGTGGATGCACAGAGAGTAAAGTCTGAAGAATATCAATTTAACTGAAAAACATAAAAAATTACTTACTTTGAGGTGAAGATAGGGATTCTTCCTCAAAACATAAAAATATAACCTTTTTAGACACCCTTTCTTATAATTTTTCTCTCTGTGTAGAGCAACCTCTTGTGCCGCAGCAGAGCCGTAGACCCGAAGACGTAAATGAACGGAGAGGTGGACTCTGACAGAGGCAGAAGAATCGTCTGCCGCGACGGCGGCCGCAAGATGTAAAAACTGTAAGTGGTCGGCGAAGAACGCTCAGTTCTTCCTGGGACCTCGCTGCGTGCGCTCACTTTCTTTGCGCCCGGAATCGGATTCGGAATCCGTCCGTGCGACTGCCCGATCGGCTTAACAATTAGTGGGGATCATTATCGATCCCCCGCCCCGTGTCGCATTAGCGCCATCGCCATCGCCCCCCGCACACACATTCGTGAAAACTCTCGGCGGGTGATGAAATTCGTGGAACGCGAACTCCAAGCCAGAGTATCTGTATCTGTATCTGTATCTGTACCAGAGTGTGTGTGATAGATATACGTGCTATTGATTTCGGATCGGGAACTGAATCATCCATCTATATCCGTAAAAGAAAACCGGACCCCAATAACTATTCCAACACTTTTAAAACTGCGTGGGGTGAGTTGGCAAAATCCAAAGTGAAAAACAAGAAGCTATATGTAAGACTGAAAAACCCGGAAAGTGAAAGCTGTTTGGGGGGGTATTTCTCCACCTTGCCACCTTTCCGATTACACAATAGAGCACACACCTTGGGCGTGCATAACTATTTGCCCAGGAGGACGAGCCAGATTGAAAATCCGTTGGCAAATTGGGCCAAAAGATTCGCGTGACTGCAAAGCAGTCAGAACAGCAGATGAGCGGCGTTTTCCGATTTTTCCTATAGGCTATGTACGGCTGTACGGGTCTATGGCTCTAAGGCACAGACCCCCTGCACTTGTTAAATTAATATTATTATTTCTTTTGATATTTTGACATTTACGTGAGCAATGTTTGCATTGGCAATGAGCTTTTGCGAGTGGGGGAAATAGTGGCCGGGTCTGCGTCTTCCTATGTGAACATATATCATCTATATATACATTCTTGTATGTGCTGAGAGGTGTGCCATTGTCTGAGGTGGCAAAATGCGTTCCGCCTGGCAAAACTGCGTAGATCCCAACTTAATTTAGGCGCAACAACGCATAAAATTCGTATAAAGAGCTTCATTCCTGTTGGCTGATCCGTGATTTACAGGTGAAATGGCCCGACTCCTGCCCTCCTGCTCTTCTGTGTCCTTTGACGTCCGGATGGATGTTTATCCTCCGAGCCGTAAACAACCGTGCCAGAACTGCAGTTGAGGCAACGATTGATGAGGGCCCGCTTCTGGGGTAAACAAAACTGAATCCCAAAATCCAAACAAATTCTTTTGAACACAGTGGGGGTGGAGATAGGCAATGGACAGGCAATGGCACAGGGCAGGAGCCGGGGAATGGCATTGACTCTTGACTAGGAGCACAATCTGAGGTTGAGGTTGAGGCTGGCGCTGAGGGCGCCCCGGATTTGTTTATTGTGCATCCGTGTTTTCAAGTTTGAACTAAAATGTAAACTATGCAAGGGATCATCGCCGCCCGGAACGACTCACCCCTTCGGGCCATGCCACTGGCTAGGTGGGTATTTATAGAAGCCGAAGCCCACGAATGGAAGAAAGAAAGACGCATGTTAAGGCCACCGAGGATGGGAGTGGGCTGCCTCTGCTGGCCATCAGCATTTCTCTTGACTTTGTGTACATTAACAGGACTTTGAACTCAGAAATACGGCCGGAATCAGAAGCGCGGGCCGGAGAAGAGACCACGATGAAATTTGCGCAGATCAGCGGCCATTGTTTCCCCCCCAGATGGGGCTCACAACATTTGGATGGGTCAGTGTGGGATGTGCAGAAGATGTGTGTGAATCATCCAGTTAAATGGGAACCTAAGCAGCTTAGCTACACAGCGAGAAAAGTGTGACACAAATGACTCATCTGAAGCTTTACCTCACTGCTCTTCCTTTTAGTGGTGAAATCTAATAATATTTACTTTCCTGTTCTTCCGTAAAAGTTCCTTTGGGAGCTGTAAATATTTTATACGACTTAGCAGCACATATATCAAAGATCCACAGGCACTGGGTCGCATCGGTGGGGCCCTTCCCCCTCGCCCTGTCATTTGCGATTACCGATCTGCAATCGCACGGGGCCGCAGAATAATTAATTAACGGCCTGTCACAGAAACATGCGACATTTCGTTCGCCCCAACCGATTCTGACATCGGAAATATGGCGCAGACATGGTTTCCCGGCTGGTGGAAGTCCGGCCGGCGAGGAGGGCGGCCGGATGGAGGTGATCCCAGAGAAGCACCCTACCAGTTGACAGTTGTTGGTTGTTTCGCCGGCGCATTCCTCAGGCACCTCGAGTGTATGGCTCGAGTTCGAGTATTTCGTATTCGATGGAAATCGTGTGTACTGAAAATGACGTGATTAGGTGGAAAATGCCATACGTTCGAATGCTATATATAAGTGTATAATACATATATTCTTCTGAGCGGCAACCACCTGGGCACTGTGGCTCTTCAGGTGGCGCACAGAGAGTGTGGCAGCCAGATACATTCGATGGGCCGCAAATAAGGTACGTCTGGCGGCTTTGGTTCACACCCACTCAGTGGCGGGTGGGCGCAAAGGGGCCTCCTCTTTCATGGAAAACCACTTTCGAACACCTTCCCTCGTCGACCACCTCGGCGGCGAAGATTCTCTTAATTGCCGCAAACATTTTGATGTACTGCCTCTGCTCACTCAAAAAAAAAGCAAACACGAGAATTGGCAGCTAAGAATGCGCAACAGGTTGCAAAAATCAGTGGCGGGGGCGGTGGCAGCGGCGGTGGCAGATGCTTAGCTATGGTTTATTATTGGTATGGGGCGGGGGGTGGAATGATGGGTATATATTCACCCACACTTTCCCCCAGACTCAGGCCAAAAAGAAATCACGCGGCTGGCCTCAGACGAGCACAGAATGTTAGAGAAACAAACAAAACCGAAAGCAAAACCAAAACAGCCACCGGATTATTGCACATGACCTCCTCAAGAGTGGACTCCGCACCACCCAGCCCCTTAATCTGTTCCAGATTTCTGAATGAGTTCGATTATTTAGAAAATTCTGTTTTTGGGGCCTGCAAAATTAAGAAGAAAACTTTCCTCGAATGGTAAACAACCGAGATTGAGTGTGATGAGGGATACATTCGATTTCATGGGATTCTAAAGTAAAAAAAAAGCCAAAAACAAATAAAAATAGCCATCAAATTGATATTTGGTTTTGGCATAAAGACGATCCAACAATAATTGAAATACATTCGAGGAAAATATGGAATCATAGCCCACTCGCTGAGCAAAACAGACATATACACGTTCTGATGGAACAGGCAAAATGTCATGTTTATATGTCACGGATAGCTGAGATTTTGTTTTGGAAAAGTCCCAAAATTGATGAGCCATTTTTCCATGTGATTCACGGGTGTACAGTAAACACAGGCACATGGTGGCTCCAATCCACCACAGTGCGCGGACCCACCTGACGGGCTGCGCCAATTACGTGCGAGATTAATCAATGCCAAGACAACATGAACAAATTAAGCGCACTCATTTCGACATAAATTTATTTAACCACGCAAAGAGGCGAAGATTCAGTGCAGCATCGAACCAGAGCGGAGCCAACAAGTGCCAGAATGCCAGAATGCCTGCCGAATCCCAGAATGCAATGCTGACGTTAATCATACGCCCCGTGGGCCCGCGCTCACCTCGAATGTTGTTGAATCGAATGAAATGTGGCCTCTGGGCCGGTATGCTCTGCTCTGGTCACCCTCAACCCCATGCGATAATTCCGATGCCGATCCTAATGATGACGCTGACCACGCCGATGATGATGCAGACGACTTTGGCTCACATCCGAGAGCGTGTGGTGGCCTCTCGACTCTGTCCTTAATTATAAATTGATGCATTTTCAAATAAACAAACCAAGAATTATGGCCGAGGTGGCAGGGAGAGATCTGCGATAGGTGGGATGATAGATGGCACTGTGCGTTTCGAAAGGGGTTTTGAAATTCGAATACAGCAACAATTTATATAATTATCGGGGTGTTTTATGGATTTTCAAAGCCATAGCGAGTGTGGCGCTGCCTCAGAAAATAATTAAAAATAACCCAAAAGCGAAAGGTTAATTAATGAGGATATTAATTAGTTGCATCAACTTAAATATATGTCTTGGGAGCTGTTACTTCAGGTGGCGGGTCTAATGGCTTTGGGAAAATTCCTTGTCGGGTTACATGCCTGACCATGATCTCCCGAATTCCCCATTATTTCGTATATATTCTTTGGTTTATATTAAACTTTGACGATGTGGCCTATTTTAGGCAGAGAATGACGCACTTAGTGCGCATTTAGCACTTGCCGAAGACACTCTAATTTTTCCTGACCAGTCACGATAACTATTTCATCATGGAAATTCCCCACTTACCAGGCAGGCCACCCACCCACGACAAAATGACGAAGGATCAGCAGGCCACTCCCATACCCGAGGAGCTGTACAACCTCACCCAGCTGGCGGACGTTACGCTGGCGGCCGGTCCGCTAAACACCGACTCCGAGGCGAAGCCCCCGGCCGGCCTGTACGCCGCCTCGTCCACATCCTCCTCCTCCTTATCCGACGACGACTACAACTACCTCTGCCACTACAGCCACAAGGTGTTCGATCGGAGGAAAGTGCGCCGCTGCACCATCTCCGACTCGAACTCCTGCACCAGTTCCAGCTCCAGCGTGTGTCAGTCGGGAGAGGATCACCTGGGCCACGAAGCGAGGGAGCAGGACGCCTTGGAGCAGCAGCAGGCGGCGGACGGTGGGGCACTCAGCTCCTCTTCGCTGCTGGAGGATGAGCACATTTGCCCCGAGTGTGGCAAGAAGTATTCCACATCCTCCAACCTGGCTCGTCATAGACAAACCCATAGGTAAGTAGAATCTTCTATTTTTGACGTTTCAATCTGTCAATGTCACGTTGATAGGTCAATTATGGACAAAAAGGCCCGCCACTGTCCCCACTGCGAGAAGGTTTACGTGTCCATGCCGGCGTTCTCAATGCATGTGCGCACCCACAACCAGGGATGCGAGTGCCAGTTCTGCGGCAAGCGCTTCTCCCGCCCGTGGCTCCTCCAAGGGCACATCCGCACCCACACTGGAGAGAAGCCCTTCAAGTGCAACGTCTGCGAGAAGGCGTTCGCCGACAAGAGCAATCTGCGTGCTCACATCCAGACGCACTCCAACACCAAGCCCCACACCTGCTCCCGCTGCGGAAAGGCTTTCGCCTTAAAGTCCTACCTGTACAAGCACGAGGAGTCCTCCTGCATGAAGAATAGGAGTGGAGTCACAGGACCTGCATCAGCATCGGGATCTTTGGGCAGTAGAACTCTTCCATCACCCAAGCGTTATCAACAGGATGCGAATACTACGGGCTTGGGAGCAGGATCCCCTTCCACAGTGGTAAGGAAAACTTTAAAAACTATTCGATTATTTCCTTAAATACAAACTAATCAATCAATTTCCCTTATTATTACTATTTTTAGGGTGCTGCCCCTGATTCGGCCAAGTCCACGCTGGCCAACAAACTGATGCAAAAGGAAAAGGAGCGGCGACAGGCGGCATTGGCCTACCAAGGGTTCCTGGCCACCCCAGACGTGCCCTCCGGCTTTAGTCAGGGAACGCCAAACATCGCCGGCCAGGAGCCGGACTACGACCACTTCAAGAGGATTAACGTGATCCAGCCCACCGTGTTGCCCCATCGCAACCTCTTCACGGACTTGCACAACAATCCTCACCTGCCGCTGGCACTGCCTCTGCCATTGCCATACCATTATCCGCCACACGCCACGCCCCCCGATATGGCAAAGGGAGGAGGCGGGTTAAACAGGAGCCAGGAGCAGCCGGTGGACTTTTCGCCGAAAAACAATTTTTCGCACTCGGCCAAGACGAGTCCTTTCGAACTAACTGGCAATTATGCCATGGTGGCATAGTCTCCGGAGGAGACCCGATACAGAACACCAAAGCAAAAGACACCGGAGAGAACAAGAGCACTACCCATCAGGATTTTAGGCCGAGATTGAGAGAAACTCAAAGAAATAATCCCACCCGATCCTTATACCCAAATCCTTAAATCCAAAACCCCAACCCGATAACTGTAGTCAACGAATATGTGATAAAAATGCAAAAGAGCTAAAGTACCATTTTAGAGAGTAGATGATTCCAGATAGAGACCAGAGGGAACAGACACTGTGGCTGAATCCACACATCGATGAAAACGGACAACTCCAAGGACGACGATGAGAGACGAAAATATATACACTGTTGTAGGTTTAGAGACAGAGCTGAGAGACAGGAGGTGTGATCGATCCCCGATTGATCGTTTGATCTTCACTTAGTTGTAAACGAGACTTCTTAGAGACTTGCCAAGAACAGCGACAAAAAACCAATGTAACCAGTATTTTTTATAGCACATACATAGATGCGCGAGTTATATGTCAACTCCCGATCCCGGCGGCACCACAGCAAAGCTCCAATGTTTATACACTCACACCTAGCATTACGATTTCGATTTACAAGAAGCCAAACCAGACATATCCAGAGATATATCTAACCCACTTATAGACGCATAAATACATACTAACCCCCCATTAATCACTTCGCATTAAGGCATTGGTGGCGACTTCCTGCTTCCGGCACGGAAATCGTTCCAAAACGAGAGATATTCTAGTCTATATCTTTAAAATTGGCGCACATTCTACGGGAAGGGGCATCTCCCGGGATGCCGCGATCCCCGATATGTGCGTGGCGTTATTTTAAGCACTTTACGGCCGCATGTGGTGCAATAATTGACATAACCCCTATCTGTATATTTCGTATTTTACTCGATCGACCAATCGCTCACTAGATTTACATATATATATTTAGCACTTTACATCTATTTAGTTGTCGAGAGTCAGACACGCTCACTGCATTTCGCATCCCACAACTCGACTCCATTCTACGGCTAAACACACCAAAGATACATATATCGATTATATAGACGCATGGGCGTTCAGTCGTATGCCCTGCCCACCTTTTATTCTCGTACTTAACATATACACCTAAAGATATATATACACACGTATACTTGTACGTAGCTTATAGTCGTATTATATAGATTTGCACATTTATTCGAATTAAACGAGAGATCCACCGATCCCAAAAGTAACAAGGCGTATTCTTTTTACGTGAACTGGGTTGATGGGCACTTTTTCCAAAAGTAATATAAGAAACTGGTTTTGGGTTGCAGGGGCTTGCACGGCTTTTTGGAAACAATTTATTAAATTTGGCGAAAAACATGTCGAAACAACACATACCAGCAGACTGTGAATTTAAACTGTCATTGAGTGAAATTTACGGGTCAGGACAAAGGTCCCCTCAAAGAGGGAACCGGTCGCGAGAGACAGTCCTAACCCAATTTTCTGCAAATGTCCGGGGCCGAAAAATGTCATATAAATTAAGTGAACTCGAAAGTAAACATTATTCAAGATCATGAAGAGACAGCTTCACGCTGGATGGATGATCCTTGATGTCCCCGGCACTTTCCAGCGTCGGTTTGCGGTTGCCGCCGCAACGGACGACCAACTCCTCGTAGCTTTTGTTGTGTAGGAAGCAGACCAAAATCACGGTCATATTGTCGCCACCCAGACCGCTAAGCTGTCCGTCGGGGGCCAGGCAAGCGTCCATCAACTCCTCGCAGATCCGCTCGGGCGGCACGATGCCAGCGGCAATGCGACTGCGCACAAACTGGCAGACCTCGGCGTTGGTCATCACATCCCAGATGCCGTCGCAGGCCAGCACGACGAACTCCCAGTCCTCGGTGATGTCGCGGACTTCCACGTCCGGATCGGCGGTCACGACTTGATCCTCAGGTCGCTTTTGAGCGTTTTTCTTGTACATGAAATCGCCGAGTGCACGGGAAAGGGCCAGATTGCCGTTGACCCGGTTGAACTCCACCCAACCCCCGCCGGCTAGAATTCGCCTGGACTCGGCCTCATCGGTGGGCTTGTGATCCACGGAGAGTGCCTGAACGGCGCCGGAGATGCAGGCTATGGCCCGGGAATCGCCGGCGTTGGCGCAGTAAAGTCGCCGCTCTCGAATCAAAACAACCACGGCCGTGGAGCCGGCCATCTGGTCATTCCAAGACCCATTCATAAGGATCTCGCGATCGAAGTCTAGGAAGGCCTTCTTGAGAGCCAAGCGAGTATCCTCGCGATACTCCGGTCGTTGAGTCACAAACTTGTGTAAGTTCTTTCCCGCAAACTTGGACACCGTTGCACCACCATGCCCATCGTAGACAGCGAAAAAGGATGCCTGCGGCTCGTCCGGCAGGGAGAGGATGTGGGTGTGCGCGTCCTCCATATCGAGGCGCCACCCCTGCATGCAGCTGGAGCCCACACGGAAGCTAGCATTGGAGCAAGAGGCCGTGTCCTTCGTGGTAACGGGCTCCGACAGGGTCTGCCCCATAATTAACTTGAGAAACGAGTGGTGAGCCATCGCCATCAGAAAGTCTAGCGTCTTTATTGCTTTTTTGTTAAATTGCTTTTCTAGCTCTATCAATGGAGTGGATGCTTGATATGACAATGTTTGAATCAGGAAATGTGTGGGATAGCCCGAAGGGGATTTTGGAATTTAGCTGACTGATGCGACAGGGGCTGCTTCTGTTCCGACCCAATGAAAAGATTGACAGCACATCAAGGGCTAATATGATTAATCAATAGGGTATACTTTGAATACATACTGACCCAAGAAATGGAATCAACATAACTTTTGAATGAATAGGAATATAACCCTTCCCGATTTAAGAAAAACGTGCATAATTTTCCATCAAAATTTGGCAACAAAAATATTGACCCATTTTCTCGAGATTCCTCTTTTTCCAAAGGGACAATTTGGACAAAAAATTGTTTTTTTTTTTTTTAATTTGGACAAAAATTGGGTCAAAATAGACACAAAAAATGGAGAAAAAATCAAAAAATTATTTTGTTTCTGGATTTTGATGCAGAATGACGGAGAATCGATCCACAAATCGTTTAAGGTACTCCTCTTGAGAATCGGGTGAGAATTGGGAAAGATATAGCCATCACTGTGGCCCATATAGGGGAAAACCCCATTTTCAAGGGATCCCATCACGAAAAATGGACAAAAAATCTAAAAACTATTTCATCTCAGGATTTTTATGCAGAATGGTGGAGAATCGATCCAGAAATCGTTTAAGGTACTCCTCTTGAGAATCGGATCAGAATTGGGAAAGATATAGCCATCACTGTGGCCCCTATAGGGGAAAATCGCATTTTCAAGGGATCCCTCATGAAAAATGGACAAAAAATCGAAAAAATATTTTGTCTCAGGATTTTGATGCAGAATGGTGAAGAATCGATCTAGAAATCGTTTAAGGTACTCCGTTTGAGAATCGGATCAGAATCGGGAAAGATATAGCCATCACTGTGGCCCATATAGGGGAACCTCCATTTTCAAGGGATCCCATCACGAAAAATGAACAAAAAATCTAAAAAATATTTTGTCTCAGGATTTTGGTGCAGAATGACGGAGAATCGATCCAGGAATCGTTTAAGGTACTCCGCTTGAGAATCGGATGAGAATTGGGGAAGATATAGCCATCACTGTGAGCCCTATAGGGGAATACCCCATTTTTAAAGGGTCCCATCAGGAAAAATTGAAAAAAAATCTAAAAAATATTTTGTCTCAGGATTTTGATGCAGAATGGTGGAGAATCGATATAGAAATCTTTTAAGGTACTCCGCTTGAGAATCGGATGAGAATTGGGGAAGATATAGCAATCACTGTGAGCCCTATAGGGGAATACCCCATTTTTAAAGGGTCCCATCAGGAAAAATTGAAAAAAAATCTAAAAAATATTTTGTCTCAGGATTTTGATGCAGAATGGTGGAGAATCAATCTAGAAATCGTTTAAGGTACTCCGCTTGAGAATCGGATCAGAATTGGAAAAGATATAGCCATCACTGTGGCCCCTATAGGGGAAAATCGTATTTTCAAGGGATCCCTCATGAAAAATGGACAAAAAATCGAAAAAATATTTTGTCTCAGGATTTTGATGCAGAATGGTGGAGAATCGATCCAGAAATCGTTTAAGGTACTCCTCTTGAGAATCGGATCAGAATTGGGAAAGATATAGCCATCACTGTGGCCCATATAGGGGAACCTCCATTTTCAAGGGATCCCATCACGAAAAATGAACAAAAAATCTAAAAAATATTTTGTCTCAGGATTTTGATGCAGAATGACGGAGAATCGATCCAGGAATCGTTTAAGGTGCCTCGCTTGAGAATCGGATAAGAATTGGGCAAGATATAGCCATCACTGTGGCCCCTATAGGGGAAAATCGTATTTTCAAGGGATCCCTCATGAAAAATGAACAAAAAATCTAAAAAATATTTTGTCTCAGGATTTTGATGCAGAATGACGGAGAATCGATCCAGGAATCGTTTAAGGTGCCTCGCTTGAGAATCGGATAAGAATTGGGCAAGATATAGCCATCACTGTGGCCCATATAGGGGAAAACCCCATTTTCAAGGGATCCCATCACGAAAAATGGACAAAAAATCTAAAAACTATTTCATCTCAGGATTTTTATGCAGAATGGTGGAGAATCGATCCAGAAATCGTTTAAGGTACTCCTCTTGAGAATCGGATCAGAAATGGGAAAGATATAGCCATCACTGTGGCCCCTATAGGGGAAAATCGTATTTTCAAGGGATCCCTCGAAAAAAAATCGAAAAAATATTTTGTCTCAGGATTTTGATGCAGAATGGTGGAGAATCAATCTAGAAATCGTTTAAGGTACTCCGCTTGAGAATCGGATCAGAATTGGGAAAGATATAGCCATCACTGTGGCCCCTATAGGGGAACCTCCATTTTCAAGGGATCCCATCACGAAAAATGGACAAATAATCTAAAAAATATTTTGTCTCAGGATTTTGATGCAGAATGACGGAGAATCGATCCAGAAATCGTTTAAGGTACTCCTCTTGAGAATCGGATGAGAATTGGGAAAGATATAGCCATCACTGTGGCCCATATAGGGGAACCTCCATTTTCAAGGGATCCCATCACGAAAAATGGACAAATAATCTAAAAAATATTTTGTCTCAGGATTTTGATGCAGAATGACGGAGAATCGATCCAGGAATCGTTTAAGGTGCCTCGCTTGAGAATCGGATAAGAATTGGGCAAGATATAGCCATCACTGTGGCCCATATAGGGGAAAACCCCATTTTCAAGGGATCCCATCACGAAAAATGGACAAAAAATCTAAAAACTATTTCATCTCAGGATTTTTATGCAGAATGGTGGAGAATCGATCCAGAAATCGTTTAAGGTACTCCTCTTGAGAATCGGGTGAGAATTGGGAAAGATATAGCCATCACTGTGGGCCATATAGGGGAAAACTCCATTTTCAAGGGATCCCATCACGAAAAATGGACAAATAATCTAAAAAATATTTTGTCTCAGGATTTTGATGCAGAATGACGGAGAATCGATCCAGGAATCGTTTAAGGTGCCTCGCTTGAGAATCGGATAAGAATTGGGCAAGACATAGCTATCAAAGTGGGCCATATAGGGGAACCTCCATTTTCAAGGATCCCAGCACGAAAAATAGACAAAAAATGTAAAAAATATTTTGTCTCAGGATTTTGATGCAGAATCGGATGAGAATTGGGAAAGATATAGCCATCACTGTGGCCCATATAGGGGAAAACCCCATTTTCAAGGGATCCCATCACGAAAAATGGACAAAAAATCTAAAAACTATTTCATCTCAGGATTTTTATGCAGAATGGTGGAGAATCGATCCAGAAATCGTTTAAGGTACTCCTCTTGAGAATCGGATCAGAATTGGGAAAGATATAGCCATCACTGTGGCCCCTATAGGGGAAAATCGTATTTTCAAGGGATCCCTCATGAAAAATGGACAAAAAATCGAACAAAATTTTTGTCTCAGGATTTTGATGCAGAATGGTGGAGAATCGATCTAGAAATCGTTTAAGGTACTCCGCTTGAGAATCGGATCAGAATTGGGAAAGATATAGCCATCACTGTGGCCCCTATAGGGGAAAATCGTATTTTCAAGGGATCCCTCATGAAAAATGGACAAAAAATCGAACAAAATTTTTGTCTCAGGATTTTGATGCAGAATGGTGAAGAATCGATCTAGAAATCGTTTAAGGTACTCCGCTTGAGAATCGGATCAGAATCGGGAAAGATATAGCCATCACTGTGGCCCCTATAGGGGATAATCGTATTTTCAAGGGATCCCTCATGAAAAATGAACAAAAAATCTAAAAAATATTTTGTCTCAGGATTTTTATGCAGAATGGTGGAGAATCGATCTAGAAATCGTTTAAGGTACTCCGCTTGAGAATCGGATCAGAATCGGGAAAGATATAGCCATCACTGTGGCCCCTATAGGGAAAAATCGCATTTTCAAGGGATCCCTCATGAAAAATGGACAAAAAATCTAAAAAATATTTTGTCTCAGGATTTTGATGCAGAATGACGGAGAATCGATCCAGAAATCGTTTAGGGTACCCCGCTTGAGAATCGGATGGAAATTATGGGAGATATAGCATTCACAGTGGACCATATGAATATTTTGGTTCGTATTGGGAAAATAAAGAAACTTAAATGCCCTCCAATCATATTTTTTTCACCCGTAAAAAGACTGGTTTTCTTTTGATAATCTTGTGTTTTGTATTTGTTATTTGTTTGTCGTTTTTCTTTTGTTTTTTTGTTTTCATCTTTCTTTTTTTTAATATTTTTTATAATTTTTGTTTACTTTGATAGCGTTTGTTTCCATATACACAAGTACATTTAAGTATATAATGATTTACACCTTTGTGTGTACATAATTTTGTTCTTTTTTTATATAGACATTTACTTGTATTTGTTTTTTGTGTTTGTTGTAGATTACTACATCCTTTTATCCTTTTAGGCCTATGTTCGAGAGTATGTAATTACCATAATTTGTATGCATCCGTATCTGTGAGTATTTGTATCTGTGTCGAGTGATACTTAGCTATAGGCGATCTACATTCACATTTCTTAATTAATCCATTTTTGTATATATTTTCTCTTTAAAGTGTAAAGACACTAAATTTCACAATGTTCGATTTGTTTTCCTCTATTTGCTACAGAGAGACAATCCCCGGCCCCCGAAAATGCCCTTAATTTTATTTTTTTGTATTGTTTGTTTTGTTTTTTTTTTTAAAGGGTTGGGGATCCGGGGTTATTTAAGCCAGAATTAGCCGAAAATCATTCGGGGGATTCCCCTGGGGACAAAGATTTTGTTGTTCGGGTTCGTGTCGAGTGTTTTGAGTGTCTGAATATGTAAATAATTTACGAAAATGTTTGTTCTATTATTTATCTCATTTGTGTACGAGTGTATATAATTCTATATCGATATAGACGTATTATAAAATCTCTAAACAGCCATAAAAGTCAAAAGTTCTTAGTAATATCTATCAATTATCTAGATGCGTTTACACTGCCACTAACTTGACGTAACTTGAGTTAATCATTATCCTCTATCCTTGTCTTGGTTTTTAGCGTAATTGCTGCCTAAATCTGGTGAAATCGGAAATCGATTGTTATAGGTTTATCTGTTGGTTAGGGAGGGAACTCTATACATAAATACAAATGTTGCGGCTCATTGTTTCATTTACTTCGATTGGTTTCCATTTCGCGTTTTTTTTCTGCTTTTCTTTGGTCTTGAGACAATTCAATTTAGTCGCTATGCTATGGCTACGATTACTTCGATATATTCGATAAACTTTCTGGCCTCCTATCCGGTGTCAGGGCCCTTGAAAAGGTACGCGCATCCGGTTAAGATATAGATTTATATAAGACATATATATATATATATATTTGTTTTGATTTGCATACAGCTAGTCGCTAATATATCGATAGCTTATCAAGTACAATGCTAAATGTATCGGTGTGCTTGGTTTTTGATATAAGTTTGAATTCCGTTCATTTTTCATTTTTCATTTTCGATTTCGATTTTAAGTTCCTTATGCCTAAATAAGAGAGGACACCAAGTAAAAACATTCAGTACACATTCATAGAGATACGTTTAGAATACAAAAAGACGATAAGTACGATTAGAAAGATTGGTGTGTGGCTTAGATTTTGTGACTAACTGGAATTATATTCATTGTTTTATGAAGTTAAGTGTTGGTGAGCTGATGGAATACATGATATATTAATGAAGATTTTCGTTATTTACTGAATATGTTTCAAGTGTGGTTGGATATTGTGTGATTAGTTCGAGTACAAGGTGATTTGGGGAAGGCTCTGCTTCCAGTGTGGGTGAATTTTGTTATAAGTGTTGGTGAGCAGACTTTGACGACACAAATTCAAATTGTCACATCTAGACGACGGGTCAAGGTCACATCTCTTCGTTGACGATCGAAAAACATTAATTTGTTGCGGGTTTCATTCTTGGGACAGGAGTTTCTGGTTCCACATCGCCCGGCAATTCGTTGTGTCTAACCCAAGGGATCCCTTAATCAATCTGAGGTCGGGGACTCGTAATCGTAATCTTAGGTAGAGGTACCTCTACAGGTGCTAGGGTCAAGGTTCGTACATATGAATATGACTTGGTGCCCACGCAAAAAACAAACTCTATATCCTAATATTGTGTGGAGTGTGATTTTCGGTTGAGTGTGTAAGTGTGTATCTGTATCTGTATCTGTATCTGAGGTGTGCGTGCTCTTTGATTATCCGTCTTTGGTTTACTTTACATTTGACTTGAATGCAAAGCCTGGCCTCTAACTGCTATGTCGCTATACATACATATATCTGTATATGGATATTCTTTAGTCTCTTTTCGAGTCGTATATAAAAATATTTAAATTCTTTAATTTGAAACTGCACAAGTGGCTATTCGCTATCCAATCCGGTATATCCCATTGCCGATCCGCCCCTAAGTACCTCTATTTATGTATATATATCGTATATGTCGTATATAAAAAGCAAATCCCATAAAAGTGCTTTCTCCGATTTTTTAAAACACATATTGTTTCGATTACGTTTGCATCACCCAATGACTACAAGAAATATCCACCTCGCTTTCTAATTTTTACATTTTACATATATCGCTTCTTGTTCAGAAATCATCAAAAAGGTACAATCATTTTAAATTCAATATCTTTACCGTTAGCCGTATGTATGTATGTATATGTCTATGAGTATGATCTCAGCTCTAGCTGCTATTTATCATAATCGTGTATATAATATATATAACGTATATTGTTGTCTGTTTTGTTATTTAGATTTTCTTTTTAGGTAGGAAATATGCTAGTCTTATAAATTTCACACATCAACATTTTGGTTATCGTTTAAGATTCGGCGTCTTTTTTCTAGGAAATAATTTTGTATTTAATAAAATATATATCCGCATATAAGTTTAATATAATCGTAGATTTATCTGTGGTAATATATACGCGCAGGCGTGTGTATTAAAAACATCTAATTTCAATCCGAACCACAAATCGTTAAGAGAGTTTTGTTAGAAAGTTCTTCAAGTGAAGGAAACACGAAGATTATATCAATATTTTAATAATTACTGGTAGCTTAACCCTAACTACTACCCGGCCTACTAAACGGCGCTATCAGTTATTTTTGGTTTGGTATTATTATGCTAAGTTGGAGAGCGCTATGGTTCCGGAGCTCGGACCCGGCTAATTGGTTGGATCTCGTTCCAGCTGTCCGAAGTGCGTGTTTCAGGTCCAGCTCAAAACGAAAGAAATCTAATTATGGACGGGTTCTTATCAATCTTGTTTGTCAACGCCCTCTGTCTGCACTGATCCCGCGCTGTATACCCCCCGCCCGGTCTGGTACAGATTTCCGGGAATTCGGGATGTTCCGGTTCGGTTCGTTTGGGCCTGTCTCCTCGACTTCTGTAATTTCGATTTCTGTAACTTTAAGTTTAATTGTAAGTCGTGCTTGCGCCAGCTCTGTTTTGTTAAATGCAAAACAAAATATATCCCTTTCAATCGGAAAAGCTCATCAATTTGTTGGTCAATCAAACAACTTTGTGGGGTGGTGGTGGTGGTGGTGGTTCGAGGGTGGCGGGTGGCGTGCGAAATCAATCTATAATCTGCAGAAACCTGGTTGGTCTTGAACTAAATCTAAATTAGCTGAAGCTAGCCTCTTTATCTTGTTACCACTAAATTATACTGCTCGCCGCACAATGGCTACCGATATTATTGCACAGTTATTACTCATTAATTATGTTATCAAGTTCATTCACTAATCGTTTAATTCTTTAAACATTAAAATTATTTACTCCTTTTGTAATTTGGTGGGATATATGTTGTATTTGTTGTTGTTCTTGTCCTTCCATCGTCATCAACTTCTTTTGATTAATTTCAGAGAAATAAAAACCAAAAATAAAATAAGAGACAACAATAATAAATCATAATAATCATAATAAAACAAAACGTTCATTTAAATCTGTTTGTAATATATTTACGATTTTTTGCAAGTTGTAAGACATAAGTAAATATAAGCATATATTTATAAATCTGGTAGTTATGTATGCATAAGGTTTAGGTTTCTATGTTCCATTATACACGGTATATTCAAAAAAAAGTTCAAGCGAAGAAAACACGAAACTAAAGGTAATGTTTAAAATGTAAAATTATAGTGTAAGTGTTAAAATAGTAAAGTAAAGGCAACTCATCCTAGTATCGAATAAACAAGTACATAAGAAATATTGTAGTAAACACCAAACAGCATCCGCTGTAGCTCTAGCTCTATAATATAATTATTATATAATTACACAGAAGTGCTTGCTCCTTTTTTTTCTTCTTTCCACATTGTTTTTAATTTTTGTTGGAAATTGAGAGGACGACGAGTACAAATATTAAGGCTACACAGTTAAAACGTTTCCTCATTTAAATATATACGTATATTAGATGTGGATTTCTCGCTTACCTCCAAGTCCTCGGAGTTCTTCCTTTAAATACAAATTCTCCATTAGAGGACCACAAATCTCTGCGATCGGCTTTGAGTGTGTGTTTAATAATAGGTTTAATTTGTTTTTCGACTTCGTTATTAAATATAAATGTAATTTGTTTGGTTTAATATAAATTTAATTTGTCGTTTAATAGTAATTTAATTTGTTTGTTTTGTTGTTTTCATAAGTCTATTAACGTTTCGTTTTTGTTACATTTAAAGCGTTCTTGATTTGTTTTTCTCGTTTTCATGCCTTCTTTTTTTGCTCCTAAACACTGAGTAGAAAGTGAAGAAGAAAGTTTTATTTAGCATAAAGATATACACCCAATGATGAGCGAGATGCTCCCGTTCAATTAAAATCGAATTAAAATAGGTTTCGGGAACCTTGCCTTGATAAAAAAAAAATAAAAAACACAAATCGCAAACTTCTCCTCCGACACATACGCTCTAAACTGATTACACAAAAATTTATTCCATATTCATGCTTATTTAAATATATATTTAGTTTTAGTTTTGAATGGTCCATAAAATTTCTATAAAAAAAGAACTCTTGTTGAATACATCTATGCATATGTCTATTAACTATTAGGTGGGGCTTCGAAAACCCCAAAAATTTGCCGAGCTGTTCTTGATTTTCGTTATTGTTTATTACCATTGTTAGCTATGGTTGCCACTTATTGTTTTTTACACAAAAAATATTCGTACCACACCTAGATCTAGCTCTAGGCATACTATATAAGTATGCTTTATCTGTATGTACTCGTATATATTCACAACACTAACGTTTCTTAAATACGCCCTACGCATGCAGAACATGCCTAATGTTAGCCCCCCATGTCCTTTTGTTTTCAAAACTATAAAAAGTGTATTTGTCTCATAATCGGATTAAAAAGTTACTTCTTGGTTAAAAAAAACGCCGTTATAGCTACTGAATCCTGCACGCTAATTAGTTAACATATAGATGCATATTCCGTATCCGTATCGCACTCGGTTAGCTATTGTTAATATTTATGTGTACTTGTATGTCTGTGATCATAGTTTTATGTATATCTACGTGTCGCCTCGACGACTGACAAAAAACGAATTCAATTTCTCAGATTTCTCATATTCCGCTTGTTAAAAACTACATCACAATAATTACATGCTAGATCCTTTCCGTCGGAGTTAATCCATCCCGAAATTGTTATTTTTGTTTAGTGGGCACAGCTGAACTAGGAAGGGGCGGAGGTGGGTGGGACTACCCTAGCCGGCTAATGTATCTGCTTCAGTTTATATCAGTTTATATATAGGAAGTGCCACCCTCTAAGAGAACGAAAAGTTAGTTGCTGCTCGATTAATTTAAGCGCGGACGTGCGCGAAGTTAAGTCTAACTACGAAATACTTTAGGAAACCTATTTAACAAGATTAGTTTATACCATATATAGGATTTTGTGGGTTTATGTTTGTAAAGTAAGCCAGGTTTGTACATATCGAAATAGCGTTCTATCGTATATTTACATTTATATGGGGCTTTCCTTTGGCGGCTCAACGCCCCAATAAAACATAGTGGCTCTGGAGAGAAAACTACTAAAATCGTGTTTAAAAAGAAAGGTGCCTAAAAGCCTATAAATGATTTAGTTTCAGTGAGTGTTTAAGAGGGGTTTGATTTAAAAGCCTAAAAGGGTCGTGTTACTGCTAAATTGCTTTTTATTTTGTTTGGTTTTGTACTTTAGTAAACTTTCTCATGCGCTTCTCTAGTCGAAAGAATAACTAAATCGCAGAGTTTCTGGGAGTCTGTCTCGGGATTCACAAATAAGACGTTTGGACAAGAATAAAATATAAATCAGGCAGATGTGCTGTGCTGACATAATTGCCGATCTAAAACCGGGTTGCTCCGTTTAGTTACAATATTAGACTCCACTAGTAATCTTCATCACTTTCGTAATATATATGTATGTACAATTGCTCCTATAATTATTTGTTGTTGCTCGTTAAACTTAGTTTAGAATTGTTATTTGTTAATTGTTGTCGTATTTGTATTTGTATTTTGTTTGCGGTTATTCCTATGAGTGTGTTACGAGTGTGTAAAAAACCTCCGCTGCCGCGAATATATCCTCTATCCTCCTATATCTATGAGCTATGTAATTGTTAGGTTACCTTGTTGATATCTCCTAGGGTTATCTATTTTATTTGCTTGTTGTTTGCTAGTAAGGTTGTTGCGGTATTCAATTTTTGTATTTTAGTTTGCTTCGCTCTATCCATCATGCTTCCTTTATTAACCATTAACCATATCCTTTATCCTTATATATTTTGTTTCTTGCTTCTTTTGTTAAAGGCAATTGAATAACATTGTTGTTTGTTTGTTGCTGTTGGATGTTTGTTGTCTGCTCATATTAGTTTTTAGCTTTTTACTTTGTTTTTCGTCTGAGGTACTTGCTAAGAGTCTAAGGAATTTCTAAGCTTTCTCTTACTGGCTCGATAGACTAATCGCCGCTGTGGGCCAGCGGAGCCATTTAGGTTAACTCTAGTCGTCTCCCTCTTCGGGTTGATATATAGTATTCATAATAATAGTATTACATATGCATGTATATAAGTATAATATATATGTTGTATATATAGAGAATATTATGTAGAAGTTATCAATAAAATACACAACACACAATGTATGAAACTCTTTCGTTTGAAGAGAAAAACACTTGAATATGCCTCTAGCTAGCATATCTGGATATATGAAAAAACGTGAAGCTATAGCTGTCTGTGTGTAGTGTGTCTGGGGGAGTTTAGGCTGTGCTGCATGCCACACAACCCGACAATATATTAGCCTGAGCACTCTACACCCAGCTGCGCGTAGAGTACTTTACATTTATTATTTAAAAAAATAATAAAATTAACAATAGTGTAGAAATCCCAGGAGGACCCCGCAGGGCCCATCGAAAATTTTCTCTCGAAAAACTCAACTGAGAACTCTAGCGATGAGGGTTTGGGATCCGGGTTAGGGTTTGGGCTCATTGCTGGCGCCTCGATTTTCTATTGCTGCCAGCCACATTGCGTGTTGCCGGCGTAGATGCGGATGCGGATGTGGTTGCTGTGGCTGGTGCGGTTGTGGCTGCTTCTGCTGCTGCTCCTGGGCTGTCGCCGCTGGGCTGCAACATGCTGCTGTTGTGGATGATGGTCTGTTGCATGAGCAGCATGAACCACCAGCACTGGGTTAGTTGCAACTGTTGCTGCTGCATATCCTGGCTAAGATCCACGTGGTCAACTCCCTCGGCCGAGGCCACAAACGATCTGGGGAAGAGGAACACAAAGGACTAACATTAGTCGCCTGCTACTCGTCAGATGTAGAATCTAAAGGTTGAAATGTGAAACGCCTTCGGCTCGGCATCCCGGCATTTTCGACTCACTCGAGCGTTGAATCATCATCATTTAATCGGGCTCTTGCTCAAGATCGAAACAGAACTGTGGTGGTGATGGTGGTGGTGGTGTGGGTGTGGTTGGGTGGATCGGTTGCACGTCCTCGTCTATCTCCGTCGCTGTGCCCCGCGCCCTCAATCGCTATGTCTCCCTTCGTCAGCTCCCTACTCAGCCCCATACCATATGTTGGTGGGCGCAAAGTGCGCCGCGTGTTTGCTGGCGGCTACCTGGGCTGGACTCAGCGGTCCGAACTGGCTGTACTGGGTGGGAATCTGGATGTGCGCCGGCAAAGGATGTGATGGTATAACCTGCAACGCTCAGACATGACAGAGTTTCTGGTAAGCTACTCACGAGGTCCACTCACCTGTCGACTGGAGCTGTTGTGGGCTGGGGGTGGTGCTACCACGGCCCGATTAGCGTAGGCATAGCTCGGAGCGGCCTGCGAAACAAACACTGTGGGTCGGCGATACATGTCGCCCTGCGCGTAGATGTCCGGCTGCAACAAAGCAGCCGCAGCTGTGGAGGATGGTGATCCGCCGAGCGGAGTACCCGCCTGGTGGTGGTGGTGCCCGTGGGCGGTATGATGGTGCGGATGCGGGGCCGCTGTCGGTGGCGGTGGCCCAGCGCCCGGAGCTCCTACGCTAGCCGGCGGCGGTTGCGATGGCTGGCGATAGACTTGGGGAGCTCCCCACGACGGGGGACCCACGCTGGCCGCTGCCGCTGCAGCTGCAGCAGCCGCTGCTGCAGCCGCCGCACTGATCGAAGACGACGAGGAGGCCGAGCTGCTCTTGGAGTGGGCCATCGGTGGAGCCACCGACGGAGCCACATAGCTGATGGGAGCGGCCGATGGAGCCTCTCGTTTCGGATGGGCCAGCGGTGGGGCTCCTGATCCCGAGGATGTGGGTGCCCACGAGGACCGTTTCGTGTCCAACTGCTGAGGCGGAGGAACCGCAGCTCCATATTCCGAATAGAACTCGGCCGGCTCCTGCTTCGTGGGAATGTGCGGCAAGCTGGCGGAGGACGGCGGCTGGCTCGCTGGCACCTGCGGTTGATAGCCGCACTCGCTCTGGGCCATGGCCAGGATGCGCTTCTTCTGCGACTGCCCCGGCTCGTACTTGATGTTCGGCTGCGGCTGGGTGATCCCCTGCTGCGGCGGCGGCTGTGGCTGGTACTGCTGCTGCGGAGCCGGTGGAGCTGGCTGTTGTTGCGGCGCTGGCTGGTGCTGCGGAGCTGGCTGATGCTGGTGATGGTGCTTGGGGCTTCCCACGGCGGCTGCGGCGGCAGCGTGATGACGGCGACGGGCGTCCTCCGGATCGTGGTCACCTACGGTTACGCATGGAATTACTAGCTGGACGTGCGATGGCTTATGGCGACTGAGATGCGATTGAGACTGGGCCTGGGATGGGGCCTGGGACTGGGAGTGGGACTGAGAGGAACTGGGACAAAGAACTGGGGCACAAAACTGAGTGGAGGAGGAAGTCGAAGGGGTGGAATGATGAGGGTGATGCTGATGGTGACTGGAAGCGGAAGCAGAAGTGGAGGAGGACGTGGACGTGGCTTGGTAATGAGGATGCGTCGCGGGTTGATTCTGAAGCTGATGCTGTTGAAGCTGCGAGCCCGATCCCGGTGCCGGTGCCATTCCCGTTCCACTTCCACTCGGAGCTGGCTGATGAGGCGGATTCAGATGAGTCATATGATGAGGGTGTTGGTGGTGGTTGTGGTTGTGGTGGTGGTGACTACTGCTACTGTGGCTACTGTTACTGCTATGGCTACTGCTATGCTTGCTGCTGGCTGTTCCCAGGTGGCTCCCATTCTGACTCGAGTTCTGATTTGGAATCTGGGTATTACCATAATTGATCTGCTGCTGCGGCTGTGCCTGCTGCGCGTGCTGCGGCTGGTGGGCGCTGCTCCTGCTGCAGGACGAGGAGCTGGGCGCGTGCTGCAGCAGGCTGCTGCTCGTCTGCGACTGGGCGTGGGCCCGCTGCTTCACCACCGGCGCCTGGGCTCCTCCGCCGACTCCCTCGCCGCCCTCATCCTCGCTGTCGGAGATCGTGATCACGGCCGTCGGCGAGGGCGTGTCGTGGATGGTGATCGTCGGCTGCTTCACGTGCTGTTGCTGCGATCCCTGCGGGTGCGGCTGTGCGTGCGGATGCTGCTGGTGGGCATGAGCCGGCGGCTGCTGGTAAGCAGCTCCTCCACTGGCGTTGCAGTTGCTTGCGATGTGATGCCCCGATGAGGCGGTGTACGGCTGGGCATGAGCCACAGGAGCGTGATGATGGTGCGATCCCGAAGAACTGGCGTTCACAATGTCTGCAACGGAATAATGTTATAATGTTAGTCCCTTTGTCGACAAAACAGAGTATATTGATGGAAAATTTAAATCGAGAGAAGGATTGGCCTAATGTGGTATTCCATTTGCACTCACTGCTTGCGGAGGCGGCCGAGGAGGCCACCACCGATCCCGCGCTGGCGCTGTAGCCACCACCGTTTCCGTAGTTGCAGTTGTGGTGCGTGTGGTACTGGGGCGAGACGTGGGCGGTGCGCTGGTACCGCTGCTGGTGCGGCGGAGAGCTCTCCTTCACCCGCTTCTTGACCGGCGAGAGCTGCTGGTGCTCTTTCTTCTCGTGCCGCGGCACGCGATAAGAGTTGCCCTTGCTGCAAGAACAGGATTAGAAGTGGAATCCCAACAGGGTTACTTGCGGAAAACTCACGCTAGATGATGAGCCGGCGACTCCTTCTTGAGATCGTTGCGAGGCAAGTTGAGGTGGTGCTTGGGATAGATCTCCTCCACGTTAAAGAGCGGCGTCGAGTCCACTATGAGCGAGTGAGCCGGCGCCTGTTGGGGCCACGACGGGACCAGGGCCATCTGCCGGCCGGTTTGCGGCCAGGCCACCCCGCTAGCCTGCACTCGGTTGGTCAACAGCATCCTCTGGCCCGACGTGGGCTCCACCATGGAAACTGGTACGGGTACATTCACGTACTGCTGCGGCGGCACCTGCAACGGCGGCTGCATCGTTGCACTGCCGACCACCACATGCTTGGTGGGACTGGGCATCGCCTGATAGCTAGGCGGGCACAAGATGTTCGAGACCAGCTGGTGCTGGAAGCTGTCCGTCCGCGCCTGCGGGTACTGCCGGGCCACGCTGCGTCCGTTGTAGATCTGGTAGAGGCCCTCGTAGGCCAGGGGGCGGCCGTCGCGGACCAGACGCTGCACCTGGCTGGTCAACTGGTTGTTGATCGTGAAGGTCATGTTCTCGGTGCTCGAGGGCACGAAGTTTGTCACCAAAGTGGACGCCGGCTGGACTCTGTGGGGTGAAACAAGATAGCTTTACAAGTGCCATAGAAGCTTTTATGAAAGTACTCACGTATGGAAGTCCCCACGTCGGCACACCTCCATCATCTGCACAGAGGCCTTGACGTTGTTGCAGTAAACGTAGTCCACCAGGTGGGTGAGACGCGTAAACGAGTGGTTCAGTGCCTCGGCGGGCGTAAGCCTCCGCTCCTGGTCGATGGTCAGCATCCGCTTCAGGAGGTCAATGAACTCCCGCCGATCTGTCTTTTCGGCCAGCAGCTGCCCGCCCTCCAGGTCTGTGGGCACGTTCACCTGGCCAATGTCGTCCAGGCAGTTGAAGATGTACTTGCGCGCCTCCTTGCTCTTCGTGTTCGTCTCCGCCTCGTGCTCCTCAGTGGTCTTGAGGCGCCAGAAAGGGTACGTGGAGTCCACGTCGCGGTAGAAGAACTTTGAGGTCTTCGAGGCGCTGTTCAGCATGTGCTCTGTCGGCAGGCCCTGGGTCTGCGAGATGTATCGGATCTGGTCGAACTCGGAGCTGCCTGGGTACAGGGGCCAGCCGAGGAAGAGCTCCGCCACCACACAGCCCAGCGACCACATATCGATGGCCTCGCAAAAGGGCAGTCCCAGGATGATTTCCGGAGCGCGGTAGTACCGCGACTGCAGGTATGTGTTGCACACCGTCTTGCTGACATGTGAGGCGCTTCCGAAGTCGATCACCTTCACGCGGTAGGGTTGGCGCACTGGGTCCACCAGCATGATGTTCTCCGGCTTCAGATCGGCGTGGATCAGGCCCAGTTGCTTCAGCTTCAACAGGGCGGTCAGTACCTGGGGGAGATTGGAGGAAGATCATGAGAGTTTGCGTTAAGGGATTGGGGATTCCAGCTTACCTGCTCCAGAATGGGCCTTATGTACTTGAGGGGGAGTGGCGAGAACTTGTTCTGCTTGAGGAAGTCGTACAGATTCTGCTCCAGCATCTCGAAGACCAGACACGTGTGGTTCTTGTGCTGGAAGCACTCGAAGGCCCGCACAAAGTTAAACTCATCCGCGTTCTCCTGGCTCAGGCGCGAGAGGATCGAGACTTCGATCTGGCCCTGGCGCGCGTACGAGGGATGGTTCTTCAGGATCTTGATGGCCACGATCTCGGAGGTGCCGCGCTTCCAGCACTTGACCACCTGGCCGAATGTGCCGCGTCCCAGAAACTCCAGCACCTGAAAAACGGAGAAGGTTACAAACAGATCCCCTTTGGAGGCACAATGTTACCCACCTCATACTCCGCCGAGAGGGAGTAGAGCACCTCGTGCTGGACCAACTGGTAGTCGCCATCCGCCCCGCTGCTGGACCTCTTGCTGGGGGGCTGCGTGTTGGCATGACCCCCCGAGGTGGCGACCTTTGTGTGTGCCGTTTTGAGGCTGCTGTTGGTCCCTGATCCCGACCCGGATCCGGCGACTGCTGGAGGGCCGTGGCTGTAGGTGTAGGAGTCCCCGCACCCGCAATCGCAGTCTGAAAAGAAGGATCGACAGAACATTAGTAAAGAATGAAGAAAAGGGATTGGGAACAGGGAGTACCTCTCCTGAGCAATCGTTTTATAACTAGGGATATCATTGTGGAGGGGTTTCTTCCGCTTTTCCTAGAAAGGTGGATAATTTCCTGCTAGCTCGCTACCTGGTCGTTGAATGGAGACTGAACACCGTTCCCTGTTTTCATTCCGGGCCAGAGATATAGCTAGCCTGGCTAATATACGTACACGGGACAGAGCCCCCGACTCTATAGAGAACAGTGCACCCATCAGCATTTGCGACTTGTCAACGCCCCCAACAAAGCAGGAACCGAGAGCCCCAGAAGCACCGAAACATTAAAAGAAAGCCATTGGACAACAATAACGCGGAGATAACCGAAACGACCGAGTGACGTGGTGTGGAGGTGGATGGGTGACTACATGGAAGGAGGAAGCCAAACACATACCGGATCCAAAGTGGAAGCTGCATTGAGGAATCTGGTAGCCAGCGAGCTTAACAATGAACATCTTTCAATAATTGCTATACTTAAAGTTGCTTTAAAGCCCTATATGAACACTATATCTAAGTATTCAGTTCGCGGGCTGCTCGTTTATCCTTCGTTCAACACAAGAGCTCGACAAGAACTCAAAAAAATAAACGATCTTACTTTTTACAGATGAAGTGGCTTCAGAAAGGTTACTTTTGCCAAACGGCAGTCTGAGTTTTTCGTTTGAGAGCGTTTCCAGAGCATCCTCTTCTCCCAAACACATGTCCGGATTCCCTGGAAGCATCTGCTCCCCCACCCGCCAGCCGGGCAACTAAATATAGAAGCAGTTAAGTAGCCGAGGCTCCTAACAAGCTTCCGAATTCCCTCGAACGGGAGGGGCCGGTCGCCTAGGCAGCGCCTCCACGTATTCGTCGCATAACTTAATTAATATACTGCGTCAAAGGACATTTGATATGAAAGGCATCGCGGGGCACAAAAATAGCCCTGGGTGGGGCGGCCGCCCACGCACTCCGGCCCAATTACACGGCAGTGGCTTCCCGGGAGTCCTGCCGTGAGCGGCTGGCCCGGGAAGGCCAAAACCGGACATCGGCGGAGGGAAGGGTAACGCAATCAAAGCCCAAATTAAGGACACACGCGATGGCCCGAAAGTGGGGCGGAGAGAGGGCCTGCGGAGGCCAGCAGCAGAAATTGAAATGGAAACTAAATGCAATAAATTATGCAAAATGGAGCCGCAGAAAAATAAAATGTTAAACTCAAAGTTGGAAACCGAAATTGAAATGGAAAGGCGAGCTGAGCGGCCGATGGAGGTCACCCCGAAGGCGAGTCGAGCGGCCAGCCAGCGAAGGTCAAATCGAAGGTTGCCCGGACTGCGAATTCTGCTGGGGCTCGGTCCTGGCAAGGACTTCTTGCACAACGCTCACGTGGCCCAGCAGCCAGCAGCCAGTCCTTCGTAACAGCTTCCTTCGGCAGCAACAAGTCACCGCACTTGGAGTAACGACTTCAAATGGCCTGCAGATTTTAAAGGAGTCTTCAGAACTACTTGCCACAATCCCAGTACTTGCATCTGCGCCTTCCTCTTGCCCCCAATAGCTATAGCTGGTTATACAACCACTGGTGGCCGGAAAAAAATGAAATAAAACCGATTTGTTTACGCAAATCTCGGCAGCAACAACAGAAATGTAGAAACCCGGAGAAGCAGCGCCAAGTTGCAACGTGACGCAGTTTTAGCAAACAAAACGAATCTGCTGCCTGCGGTTACTATTTGTGTTTTGTTTTCGCCCCCACCAGCCCCATCCCCATCCCCATCCCCAGACCCAGGCCGACTTTTTGCAATTTCTGTGTCTGTTGCATAAAAGATTCAGCCGACTGTGAACCAGGAGAGGCGGATGGGGCGGCTCGGGGGTGCATGAACCTAAAAGGGGGCGTCACGTCGCTCTGACTGATTGGGTTGGCGGGCGGAGGCGACTGGCATGATGCATCGGATCAGCTCCCAGAGGCTCGCAATCGATTCGGACGCCTAGATTTCATTTTCCGTTTGATTCGATATAAAAAATGGAATTTCAAAGAGCTTTTAGGATGGGTCCCTCGGGAGCCACTTGGCTTTGGGGAGGGGAAGTCCTCTAGCCAGTGTTCCCATTACACATTCTGCTATCGCCCACCCGATAGGTGTTATCGGTTAGTGGCCGATCGCCCAACCAGTCGGCCCTTTCCGTAGAGTTCTGTAGAATGCCCAACAACTGGAAGACTGAATCCCCAACAATAGATCTTAAATATTCACAAATTATATCCATCATTATATCAATCTCATTACGCAACAGAGGCTGTAATTACGGGGCACGTGTTGTAATTGCTGAATTTTCGATTTCAACATACAAGTGGGGGTTGTGCAACATCCAGAGGCAGGTATTTGGAATAAGTGGATGGGATTAGTCACAAAATGAGTCAGAATCTGTACCTTTGTTGGGAGAAAGTTTGGAGAACCTTCCCCTTAGTTATATTACACGACTATGGTTAACCCTTTTATGTCCAACAAACCAAAATGCAAATTCGGCTCCCGAGACTCGAGCTGGTGTTTCACTTTTGGGGAAATGCAGCCCAGAAACCTTTGCAGCGGAAGTTAGACAAAGCGAAAAATGAACATAATTATGTGGCAGCGAGAAACTCAAAATAAATTATTTACAAAACGGAAGCGGAAAGGCGCTAAATGAAAAGCACAAAAGGAGGGAGGAAAAGCGGCCGAAAACAATAACAACCAGAAAGGCGGGTGGGGTGGGATGGAGTGGGGTGGAGGGGGTAGGCCATGTTGAATCAACAGGTTAGTTGGCTTGGACCCAACTCGCCTGAACTCCGGCTTTGGTCCGGGTACGGGTACGGGTCCGAGGTCTTTTGCTGCCAATGTTGGCTGGTATTGTTGCCGCAGTGCGTTTGCCGCATATTAAATGCGCTGATTAATCGGCGAAAACATCGAGCAAGGGAGGGGAAGGGCGAGGGAGAGGAAGGAGCAAAACGGGGACAACACTGGCCGGGGGCTGGGAGCTGGAGGGAAGGCGGATGGAGCTATCACTCAACAAAAAGGAAAATAGGTGATTAATTATATTAAATATTAAGGAAAAGTGAAGATATTCTTTCAAGACTTCTTAAACAATATACCCATTATTTCCAGTGTATACCCCAGTATAAAGACCAACTGGAAAAGGGGCCGGGGGAGGTGTGGACGGGGCTGTATAAATACTTGTCGCCGCAATGAGAGCAATGCACGGGCAAGCATTTCCACTTGTCAACGCACCTGACGATGTCAGCCAGCAACAACAACAACAACAACGACTGCAGCGAGCAACAACAAAGGCAGCACCTACAAAAACACGAATCTGATGTGCACACACTGACACACACCAAGCAGACACACACACACCAACGAAACGGGTTCCAGAGCGACGGCAGGCAGCAGCAAAACGACAACATTGTAGCCGGCGACCTCTGCCTGGCCACCCCACCCCACCCCCTCGCTCGCCCAACGACTGCAATCAGAACGTGCGAGAACAACGGAGAAAGTTTGCGATGAAATTCAAGAAGAAGAGCGCGAGAGAAGAAAGCGGCGTACGAGGGAGCGGGACGGCTAGAGCAATTACCAGAAGCTTTCGTGTTGCTGCTGCTTCTTCTTCTTTTTCTGGCCGTCATAATTAAAGATGTTGCTGATGCACTGAGAGAAAATACTGAGTACTTTACCATATATTCGGTAGAATGCATACCATAAGTGAGAATGAAGCTTAAACTTAAGTACTTATTTCTTAAAATATTTTGTATGATATCTAACCCCTCTAACGTTCTGGCGTTGCATATTTCATGGCCTGTGTTGCACATTCAACACCCGACGCCGGCACGGCAGCATTAGCATGCACAGCCACTGGCGCGCCAAAAGAAACTCCACCAGCTGAGATACTGCCAAAAATGGCACTCGGGCCACAAATTGCAGCAGTATGTGGCAAGCAGAGGGGGAGCTGCCGCCTTTCTAAAAACGAGGCATGAAAAACAAGCCACTTGCAGCAGAAACATGGTTCCAGACGCCAGCTTTCACAACAGAACCCTCCTCCAAGACACCGCAACCCAAAATCTATGAAAGAACTGAAAGGAAGGGGAAAATTTATTCATAAAACTCATATCTGGCGCCGTCTCCACCTGCTCCTCCGTCGCCGCCGTTGCATCCTGGATAGCCTCCCGCTCCACCTCTACCTCCTGCTCCGCCGTTGCCTCCAGGCCCTGCGCCTCCACCGCCGCCACCTCCGCCTCCGCACCTGTTGGCGCCTCCCGGAGTTCCACTATGCCCAGGCCGTCCATCCGGAGACCACACATATACCGGAGCTACCACCGGAATAACCCAGCCGTTAGGATCTATCGGTATACGAACATGGCCTCCATGACCTCCGAGACCGCCTCGCCCATCTTTCCCGCCACCACTGCCTTCTGGCACAGGTTTTCCAGGTGATCCAGGCATTCCGGGCCTGCCAGCTGATCCTCCGGCTCCGCCAGATCCGTAGTGTCTCGGAATCTGTACTCTGAGCTCGACCGGAAAGCCGTAGTCCACCGACTCCACGTCCCTGAAGAAAGCCATGGCCGAGGTCAGCAGCACCCAGCCCGTCACCTTCATTGTTGCTTTCGGAAAGAATACTGAAGCTTCTCCAGGCATATCCTATCCTATTAGGGCGGAGAATCAAGAATCCGAAGCGAATGCATTCGGAGCAAGTACTTATGATACTTAAGGTCTGAGAATCGGAACGGAATCACTTCAGTGGCAGCGGTAGACCTGGTGGTTTAAGCCTCCCAATCGGAGTTACAAATCTTAATCCTGGCTTATCAGAGAGAAATTATCAGAGAGAGATCTCCAAGTCCAAGATTACTCGCTTCCTGAGCTACTGGCTCATCATAAGTGTTCAGGTTCAGCCACTTGCTGGATATCTGGCACTATCTGGTGGTGGGACAGGTTCTCAAGGCGATCTAAC